CATTCACCTCTTAGAATGTTGACATTTTATCTGTTTAGAGATAACTGCTTTGGGCTATCGGTGGAGGATAGTCTTGATTGTTGTAGACACTGTATGTTGATTAGGGATAACTGAAACTAATCACATTGAATATGTCATTGAATATGACGGTTGGAATAATACATCGAATCTGTGTATTGATTAATCATTGTATATGATAAATGTTTAAATACATTGTATATGTATGTTGTGTGGGAGAAGATAGGGGATGTACTCCATGGTTTGAGAGGAGATAGGGAATGCACTCTCAAACCTATTTGAGAGAAGATAGGGAATGGATTCCATTGATAACTAAGTTGGCCGGCGTGTCCAGGGTGAAAGTCCCGAAACTCTAATTACGTTTGCATAACGTAGATAAATTAAAGTATTAGAAGTGTTTTGATATGAGTTGTAGTCTCATTTGAATTTTGGAAGTATGAAAGTGTTTTAATATAAGCTATAGTCTCATTTAATTGTTTGGCTAAATATTGAGCCAGGTTTATGAATGTAAATTGGATAAGTAAAGGAAAATGAAATGAAACACAGATGTAATTGTCATGGAACTGGAATGTGTTGTAAGTTGATTTATAAGTGTTAATCATTTATCAAATGCTAATGTTTTAGTTATTGCTCATAATTGGTTTAGTATATCTTTACTGGGCTTTGGCTCACCCTATATGGGACATCATTTTCAGGTTCAAGTGATACGCCACATCCAAGGACGTAGCTTGGGAGGCTTTGAGGCTGTTAGATCTTTTTGTTGTTCTCTTTTGGTATTACATGTAAATTCAAGCTAAGGGCTTAAAGTGTATTTGAGTTAGTACTCTCTTTTTGTTACCAAGTGTTGGCTTGGAAAGTTGTAAGCCCATAGGGCATGTACTTTTGTTGTCAACATGTAACACTTTTGTAATGAATACTCTGATATATAGAAATATGTTTTATTCTCTTATATTTATGCATGTCAAGAATGTGGGTTTATATGTATTATTTTGAGGGCGTTACAGTTTCGCTCAAAGTAAATCGAACGTTAATTTGTTTAGAATGTTGCTAATAAAAGCTAAAAATAAATCAAAGTCAATCAACAGACCTCTTCTCATCTCCGACATGTGCCTTGTTACATTGTCATCCATGTGATTATAATCATGGAATTAACTTGCATAATTGCATTTGGAACAAAATATTGTTTTAAAAATATAATTAATTGTAGTCATGCAATCAAGATGGACCCAATTGGGGGAGATGAATGGCAGCCTCCAAATTTCGAAACCCTTTAATTATAATAATAATAGCATTAATTATTAAAAAAAGCCTTTAAATTATATAAGTTGGCCTCCTATTAGAGAGACATATTTTCACTATATAGTTTGGTGAATCATCAGCCTAAACTATGATAAAAGCTTCCAACCTAAATTATTTCAACCTAAATAATTCACTTTTTTCTTCTTTTCACAATGTGTGATTATCAAATAAAAGCTAACTAATAGAGATTTTCTTAATTGCTTAAAATTAAGAAAATCAAAAAAATTAATATGAGATATTGAAACTCTCACAAAACTCCCCACTAAGTGGGATGAGAGTATAAGATTCTTTTTATATGAGTAAAACAACTCTTACAAGGCTTCTTTTCTTGATGTGAGATTATCAAATAAAAATAATTATTTAAAATTAAAAAAATCAAGAAAATTAGAATGTGGATTTGGAACTCGTAGAAGACTTCTCATCAAAAAGTTCATTTTCCTTATATATATACTAGCCTGTCACTCGTGCTATGCACGGGATAATTATAGATATTTATATTTGTTTTAATTTTTTTTAATATATAAATTATGTTTTTTAAGATTTTTTTATAAAAATAATTTAATAATCTTATCACTACCCATAGTGTATAGAAGAAATTAAAAAAGCTATTACAGTAACTATGCACAAGCTGTATATATAATTATGTGTATGAGGGGATTTTAAATGCTAATGAGGGATTTTGACCAAATCAATAAATGCAGGCATGTGGATTGAAAAAAGTTAATAAATGCTGATCAGGGGATTTTGACCAAATCAATAAATGCTGAGTTTTTTTTTTAAATCAAAAATTTAGAAAATTAAGATTGAGAGATTGGAGCTCCTATAAGGCTTGGGGTTTATTAGAAACCCCATTTTCCTTAATATATTTACCATTATCTATATATGTGAATTGCAATTTTTAATTTTTAATTTTTTTTAAATGTCTTTTTTTTTCCTTTTTTATATTATATTAAAATTTAATATTTTGATAATAATCATATGTGTTGGACTTTTTAAGGAATTAAATGTCTTCTTTTTTTTATTATATTATATTAAAGTTTAATATTTTGATAATAATCGTATGTGTTGAACTTTTTAAGAAATTTTTTTATGCTTGTTCTTAATGCATTAAAGTGTTATTATGAGGGATAATAATATATGTGTTGGACTTTTCAAGAATTTTTTTTTTTATGTTTGTTCTTAATGCATTAAAGTGTTATTGTAAGGGAGAATAATCATATGTGTTGGGACTTTTCAAGGAATTCATATGTGTTGGATTTCAAAGAATTTTTTTTGTTATTGTTCTTAATACATTAAAGTGTTATTATGAGGGTAAGACTTGGGAATTAGGAGAAGTTAATAAATACTAAGTTTTTTTTTTTTTTTAAATCAAAGAATCAGGAAATTTAGGTTGGGAGATTGGACTTCCCACAAGGCTTGGGGTTAAAAATTCTCTTTTACTTAATATATAGTATAGATGTTGAAAACGTTGGTCATTATCATTTCTTTTATTTTTAATGTCAAAACAAATTTTCAAAATTTTGAGAATAAATTTTTATATTTCTTAAAAGCGGGATGTTTTCATAAATAGATTGTGTCTTTTTGAAAAATAAAAAATATAAAATAAAAATAAAGAATGAAAACACAATTTAAATTATCAGCCATTTTTGATTGACAATTTGACATGTGAATTGAATTAGTAATAAGTCGACTACATGTAAATCTTGTTCAGTTAAAAAAAAAAAAAAAAAAAGTCTCATGAAACTAGCAATGTCCATGAAGGATGGGGTTAGCATTATTATGAAGATGGGTGAAAAGAGAAATGTTATATTAAAAGAGTAAGATGATGTCTTTTTTTTTTTTGTGACAGAAAAATACCGCTGCATTTATTTAAATCATTTTGTGACTATATATATATGAAGTCGTCTCAAAGTCACAATGTATATATATATATGTATATTGTTTTATTATTTTTATTATTATTATTATTATTATTATTATTATTTTTATAACGGTACCCATTACAGTCGCAAATAATCTCCTTTTTCGTGACAGCATTTTCTGCCGTTGCAAATACTCTATTTGTTGCGACAGCAAGTTGTGTTGTCGCAAAAAATCACATTTTTCGCGACGGCAAGTTGTGCCGTCGCAAAAAGTCACATTTTTTGCGACGGCAATTTGTGCCATCTCAAAAAGTCACATTTTTTGCCACAGCAAATGTGCTGCCGCAAAAAGTTCCGTCTTTTAAGCCCACTTTTCTTATAGTGTTATCCTATAAAATTAAAATTAGAGGTAAAAAACTATTTTGTACTCATTTATAGAAACAAAACGGGACAATTGCAGAAGAGTGGTAATATCACAAAATAATTAGAAAGTGATAAAACTGAAAACACTTCATGCATCACTTGGCAATTTTTATTTTTATTTTTTTTTTTAAAAAAGTCTAAATGAGTTGGTAAAGTAATGACTTGCATGACCGGAGGTTTCGGGTTCGAAACCTATACCAACTTCCTTGCAGTCCTTGACTGAAATTGGGGAGTGAGGGGCGGGTTCCTCGACATCCTCTCTTGGGTTGGTTTGTAGGATCGGGTTATAAATGGACCCGACCTTATGGGTTCCTAGATCATAAAAAAAAAAGTGTGTGTGTTATTATCACTTTTCACCAATTATCCCAAAACAAAAAAATTTACTTTTTATATAATGAAGAATTTAACATAATAGGTAGGCCCGCACTTAAATCTAAGTGGGCCAAGATAAACTGGGCAGTTGTTTTTGTGAATAATCTGGCCACGGCTAGGTAGGCCTGTAGTTAAATCCAAGTGACCCTAGATAAACTGGGCCGTTATTTCCATGAACAATCTGGTCACGGCGTCAGGCGTCTATGGGCCTAGTTGAAGAAGTGAAACCCACATTATCTCTCAAATATCATATCATATCATATACGGGCAAGGATTGTTTTGTATATGGTTTATAATTTGAATTTTTTTTCATTATTATAAAAAAACGTGTATAAAAAGTATATAAATGATTTAACTAAAATAAATTAATAAATTGATTTTTTAGATATTGCCCAAAGAAATCTAAATAAAATTTATATTTAACTGTCAATTGGAAGTATTGTTGGGCTTCAATTTGGCTATTACGAAGCTGATCTAAATATTCCATTATACAATTTGTTAAGTAAATTATTCATACAAAAAATTAGATTGATTGAACAATTGTATGCATATTTTTAAATTATAAAATGTATACCACATATAAGTTATGATATTTATAACGTCATAATTATATCATCTTTTTATTATAAGTATAAAAATAAATAAAATAAATAAAAATTTGAATAGTAATGAAACCCCACATAAATTTGTTTTGAGATGTAAGTTAAAAATTATTATTTTTTTATATATTTTTTTAAAAAACGTGTAAAAAAAATAAATAAATAATATAACTCAAAAGAAAAAGATAAAAAATTATATTTAATCTTTTTATCAAAAGAGGCAAAGTGTAACTTAATACCACATAGTGGTCATAAAATATTCGTAGATTATATTTATTTATAAAATGATAAATAATCTATTAACAAAATTACCATTATACCCCAATTTTTTTTTTAAAAAAATAATAAATATGATTTAATCACGTCATCATCCAAGCAATGAAAAAAAAAAAACAGCATATATTCTGGGGAGTTGGGGTCACTGTAGCTTCATGTTCTTTTCTTCTTCACATGTTCATGCTTTGGAAGTGATTCCAAACCAAAACAATAATTTTACAAAGTGATTCCATACTTTAATTTTACTCCACCCACATTCTGTTCAACTCTCTTACATTAGAATGAACAAATGAATTAAAAAGATATCATTCATATGCACACCATTGACAAGATCGACAAGTGTAAAACCTGTAAAATTATAATGGCGAAGATGATTATCAGAGTTCGAAGCAGAGATGGGTTAGAGCGAGTTTCAATCGAAAACCCAAACATCACAATTTCCCAACTCAAAACCCTAATCGAATCCCAACTCAAAGTCCCCATTCCCACCCAAACCCTATCCACAAATCAGAACCTCTTGCTCGCCAAAACCCCCTCTGAAATCCCCAAATTCACCGACATGTCCAACCCTAATACCCCAATCTCCACCCTCCGAATCGCCCACGGCTCCATCATCTACCTCGCCTACCCCGGCGAACGCGCCGTCGCCGGTCCCAATTTCCGCCCGCCGGCTTCATCCGCCCGCCGCAAGATGACCTTGGACGATCTAATCGCCAAGCAAATGCGAATCACCCGCCAAGAAAACCCTAATTGCAAACATGTATCGTTCGATCGTGGTGCGGCCAATTCGTTTCAGAACTACGTGAACGAGTCGCTTGGATTTGCTGTCAAGCGCGGCGGAGTTATGTACGGCACAGTGTCGCCGAAGGGGAAAGTTGAGGTTGATTTTATCTATGAGCCGCCGCAACAGGGGACGGGGGAGAATTTGATCCTCTTTAGAGACCCTAATGAGGAGAAATTGGTTGAAGCAATTGCAATTGGGTTGGGGATGAGGAAAGTAGGGTTTGTATTCACTCAGATGATCAGTCAGAGCAAGAAGGATTACACGATGTCGAATGCGGAGATTTTGCAGGCGGCGGAGATGCAGGGGGAGAGTGGCTTGAAGGAGTGGGTGACGGCGGTGGTGAAATTGGAGGTGGATGAAGACGGCGGTGGCAACGTGCTTTTTGAGGCGTTTCAGATGAGTGATATGGGTGTTAGATTGTACAAAGAAGGGTGGTTTGAGAAGGAAATTGGGAGAAATTTTGATCCAAAGGTGTCAAGAATGAAGAAAGATGTGGTTGTTGGAAGCAAGAATACTAGGGAAGTTGATAATGACTTTTTCTTGGTGGTTGTTAAGATAGTTGATCACCAGGTGAGTTCAATTTGCCATTTTTGATACTTGTATCTGCAATTTGTAGTCTGGTTTATCTTGAATTTTGCATTTGCATAGAAGATTCAGTAGGCTCTTTCATGGCATTGTTGTTGCAATGAGTATCTCATTGTTTGTTGAAGATGTTATTTGGCATGAAAAGAAAATATACATATCTATATATATTACAGGAAGAGAACTTTTGATGTCACACGTGCTAGAAGAAGATAATAGCAAAGTTTTTTGAAGCCAAATGTGTAAGGTGAGGCATTTTACCTCTCGTGAAGCGAGACACAAGTCGTTAAAACATTGAGGCATAAGCATTTCAAATTTTGAATTCTTATATATAGTAAATATATTAAATATTTTAACATAGTAAAAAAAATCAAAAAATAAATATAAATATGTAAATATTTTTCTTCTAAAATTGTTAAACATTTCATTGCAAAGAAAGAAGCTTGCCTTCATAAAAAATTTGGGTTATGTTTGGATAATGTAAGAATAAGATTAGGGTTCAAAGATGGGTTTAGGATTTCATTGGCAGAAGTTAAGGGTGATTTTAGTCTGAAATCCACAAGAAAAGCTTGAAGGTTGTGTTTGGATTTTAGATTTGGTGAAAGGAAAAGGAAGGGAAAGGGATTTAAAATTCCTTCATACGTTTGGTTGTTGAGGGAAAATATTGAATAAGAGAAAACAGAATAGAAATGAATAAGTAAATCTGTACCCTTGTCTAATTTATTATCGACTTGATTGGAGATCTACAAAGTAAAAATGATCATATACTTACAAACTTGTCATTTTCTACTCGAGTTACACATTCTTAGGTTTGCTTGTGTTTTCAATAGCAAATCTCTACTTATTTCCCTCTCATTTACCTTGTACAACCAAACAAGGTTTTCAATAGCAATTTTTTCAATCCCTTTCCTTTCCCCTCACTAAATCTGGAATCCAAACACAGCTGAAGGGTTTTCTGGACAAGGGGGAAAATTTATGTTTTTAGTTTTTTTTAATGGTAGGATAAATGGGGTAGGGCTAAGATCAAAGGTCTAGGGTATGAAGGAGAGAGCTGGTTGTGGTTACAGATTTACACTTGGTTGGAAATCAATTAAAGAATTAGAAGAGACTCTACATTGTGAAGGGTTGTTTCAACCATTTGCTCCATTATGTGAATAAAAGCCGCGTTGTTCATGTTAAATTCTTGTACGAATCTTCTCCATAATGTATTTTTGCTTGTTGTAGCCATATATGTAGGATGTGAACGTTATTCGGTCACTCTTTTAATCTGTGAGTTATTCTCACTACAGTGATTCTAATGAATTTTCATGGCAATGCAGGGCCCCCTTTCATCAACCTTTCCTATTGAGAACAGGAACACACCAGTGACAATGAAAGCCCTGAAGCATCATCTGAACCGAACAAGAAATCTTCCATTTGTGAAGCGAATTTCTGATTTTCATCTGCTGCTCTTGCTGGCAAGGTTTTTAGATGTCAGCACTGATGTTCCCGCATTGGCAGGGTGTGTACAAACACAGACACCTGTGCCAGAAGGTTACAAGCTTCTAATCGAGTCCATGGCCAGTGCTTGTTGATACTGATTGCAACTGATCCTTCTTATCAATCCTTTGGATGGCTTCTAATTTGGCTCTTTGGGTTGGTTGTAACTGAAATATTGAGAGCATCATATTGCTTCAATTTGTTAGTAGATATTTAGATTTTACAAAGCCATGTTATAGTACAAATACTTGCTTTGGCGGTTGATCAAGATGGAGTTGGAATTTGGATCATGAGTTTATGTATATATGTATATATATTCTCGTAAATATTTACTAGGGAAATTCTAATATACGCCTCAAATTATGTCATTTTCTTATTATGATCAATTGTATTATTTAGTTATGGCTCATGTGTTTTTTAGTTATATTTCATATTGTATTTAATTATGATATATATGTTTTTTATAATTATGACTAAAAAAATTAAAATTATATTAATTTTTTTTAATTATAAGGTGCATATAAGATTTCCTATTTAGTGGTGTTTTGAAAAGTTGGTAAAAAACTGACTTTTTAATTTTTTTGACAAAAAACTGGGTTCTTTTGAATAAAAAAGTCGATTTTTTTTTACTAAAAAAAAGCTAAAAAGTCAAAAAAACTGACTTTTTTGGTCTCTTCCGAAAATGCCCCTACTAATTTCATAGTTGTTTTATGTGATTTCAATTGTCATGGGAAGCAACACCTATGGTGGTGTGGGAAGCCTGTTTTGTTATTTGGAAGCATGATCTGAAGGCACATTCATCATATTTCGTACATATTAATTTTTTTATTTGGTACTTTTTCATCTTTCGTATATATTAATTTTTTTTATTTGGTACTTTTTCATCTCCAAATGTATTTCTTTTGGTCTTTAGGATAGAAATTGGTTTTTTCTTTTTTTGTTGCAATTTTTTTTAAGGCAAGTATTGTGTTGTATATGTTATTGTTGCTGGAGATGGTTTTTTTCATTAAAAATATTGTTACTTGTAAGATAAAAAATAAAATAAAAAAAGAGAAGTGTTTTCACACTATGTAGGTTTATAGGAGTCACTCTTTCATCTATTCTTACGATTTCTTGCACCATATAAACGAGAAAATACTATTTTTCTCACTAATTTGTATGTTTTTTATCGAAAAATTTTGCTATACACATCCTCAATCACCACCATATGCACTCTTAAGTTATAAATTCATAAATTTTTTTATTATACATTTCTTTATATTTTTTTAGTTATATTTTGTTTATCAACAATGTTATAGAGCTCTAAAAGTAGAGCTCTAAAAAGAGCTCTACTGAGCTGGCAGTCCAAAAAAAAAAAAAAATTTCAAGCTAAAACATCACATCAAACTGGACCCCACACACTTCCATGTCATTAGTGCATGGTTTAGAGCTCATTTCCTAGAGCTCTCAAGCATTTTGTTATGACCTTTTTTTTTTATCTCATTTTTTAAAATTATAATTTTAAAATCATTTTTGTAATTATAATTAAAAAAAAGAAGATAAATTACACTTACACCATTGAAATTTGGATTTAATATATATAACCCTCATGTTTAGAAAATTACACTGATCTCCTATTATTGTAATTATTTATACGGAATTAGCATTGGTATAAAAAAGACATTATGCACTCTCTTTTTTTTTTTTTACTTTGTTATACTTTTAAAAAAAAAATCTTATATGCTCCGTTTTTCTACCAAGAAGTATTGTCCTTTTATATAAATAGGCAGTTTATGAAATGACGCTATCCGCCACAAAGAATGAAAATGTAATTTCTATAATATCAAAAAAAAATAAGATGTATTAAATCTTAGAGATGTCAGTGTTATTTACCAAAAAAAATAAAAAAATAAAATTATGTTATTTTCTCCGTTTTGTTACGAGGGAGGGATGAGGTGTGTACTGTACACGTATCTGGTCGAGTCAACTCATTCCAAATCCAAACGCACTCGCTGCTGTTAAGCCCAAAGAGGTCGTGGTCCGTGGATTTCTTTGGCGGGAGTTTTTCTGGTTCGATTCTCAATCTCCTCTGAGCCCAAATTAGGGCAAATGTTCTGTTCACGAAGATACTACTAGTTCTCTCTCTGTATCTCTCTGTGATATTGAGGGCATATTATCACTACTAGGTCATGGAGGACACACCCAGAGCTTCAGAACCATCAATTCGTTCATCTGTTAGTTTCAAATTTCTTACAACCATCCTCTGATTGATTTCTACATCTACCTATCACACACTTCTTCTAATCTTCTCTTTTTTTTGTGTTTGCTTAAACAGAAAAGAACTAGGGTTCAGACTGTTAGGACTGGCGCTGGCGGAGATAATAACCCCGATGAGACCAGCGATCGGAGTGATCACGACGACTCTTTCGATCATTTTGCCGAGCCTCCTCCCAAGTCTAAGCGTAAGCGGACTTCGGAGGGGGCTTCAGCTGCGGCTGCGCAGAATTCTGATCAAAGCTTGATTGGTTAGTTCACATTTACTTAGATTTTTAGTAAAATCTTCATTTGATATAGAGTACTCCAATGGCTAATCTCAATAGTAAGTATAAATTTGAGTAAAAGCTTGGTGAATGGCACAACTGTAAATTTAGAAGCTGTTATATCACCCCAAATTGCCTTTAGAAATTTGAGTTAAAAAAAAGGGGGGGTTTCCCGTGATTTGGGTCTAGAAATAGGTAAAACTCAATTTGGTATAGGTTTAAGGATTGGAGAATGTTTTGAGGGTTTTTTACTCAAATTTAAAGGTTTGGGCTGGAGTAATGGTAAAGAACTACAGGGACGCTGGATTTGATTCATAGAAGGGAAATGTTAACCACCACTCAATTATTGAAATATGTGAAAATTTGTATATATATTTAAGTGTATGAGAATATGTGAAATGTGTATCACAGTTGTAACTTTTTATATCTTATTCAACCCTTTAACAAAGCATTTTATTTCTAACTTTGAAGACATGAAAGAACCAAGTATGGACAGAACTGGTTACAGTTGTGATTTATCATATTGATTAGGACTCCATTGAGTAGTTTCTATGTAGGTTTATAGGAGTACACTATGAGTATCATTTTGCTTTTTTAATTTAAATCTTGGAGGTCAGCTTGTTTGCATAATGGGTTATACTTCAGTTTTTCATCTGTGTTGTTTGGATACCTACTATCGTGGAAAACATTCAGCTTGCCAGATTGGTATGTACACCCTTCCAATATTCAAGTGTGCAGACCTGCAGTTTATTATTAGGAAAAGGCGTAACAAGCATTACCAGAAAACCTTGATTCCCTAGTGATTTACGTTTCGGAATGCACATTATGAAATGTGATACATTCTTTCATTTTAAAATGATGAATTTATCAATCCAAAACGATCCCAAATTTGTTCCTAGTTATGTCCTTAGTTGGATAAAAAAACCATATAAAATGAAGTAACATTTAAAGAGGACAAAAAATGTAAAAAAATTGGGCCATATTGCTTCTAAAAATATGTTTTTACATGATTTATTTGAAAAAATAGACTATATTTTGGTATATGTCTAATTGTTAAAAGAAATTTTCTCTCACGTTTAGAAGTATCTTAAATTTTAATTGCTTGATATGTACAGTTACAATTCTACCCTATTATACTACTTTTTAACGTATGTGGTGTACCACTTTCCCGTTCAGATTCATTGCACTGGAAAAATCTACATTCCCTATAAGAGCATCTCCAACGGTGCATCCTTTTTTTCACCAAATTTGACTAAAAACTTCATTGGATATCAAGTGCTCTAACAGAGGATTTTGAGCTTTCATTAAAACACCGGTTGACTGGCCAGTGTATTTTTTTCACAAATTTTTGCCTAGAGGTGGTTATCCGGTGGTGAAAATTCAACGGTTATGAACAGTGATTTGATGAAAGCTCCCAACGTCCTCAATTTGGTGAAAGATTTTTGATATCCTCAATTTGATACTGATTTGACGAAACATTGGAGCAGGAAAAATGTTGTTTTTTCATCAAATTTAAATTTGATGAAAGAATTGATGAACCGTTGGAGATGGTCTGACATATACTAATATTGTTGTGGAAGTAGTTTGGGTTGGTAGGGGTGTGTGTGCGTATATGATTAGGTAACAAATGAAAGGCAACACAACAAGCCATGATATGTCAATTAATGAAGCAAATTGATTGTGAGATATAGGTTCAATTGATCCTAATGTTTTAGATAGCAAAATATTAGAAGACGAAATGATATCATTTGTGGTGTAGTGGTATCAAGAGTATCGAGTAATAGTTATTGGGAATTGGGTGACGTGGTTGTGAATTTTTTAAAATCTACCAATCGCAAAATTTATCAAAATCTATCAATCGAGAATCAATAACAAATTGGCCATATCGATTGTGAACCAGTTGTATCAGTTGTGAATAGGGTTGTGATAAACCAATACGTATCGCAAATCAGCCGATATGCAAGAGATTTTCATTCCCATACTATGAAAGGTATATCGGGTATTGGGGGGCCAATAAACCATATGTACTGTCCTATACGTGATGTATTGGCTGATATTTAAAAGCTTAATTTATCCAAGATGAAAAGTGCATCATTGTTCATTTTAGGGTTGGAACTTAAGTAGGTTGGGTACAGTTGAAGGCTAATGGAAGCCTGGCCATGGGACTTGTATCTCCTGGGACCAAACACAACCTTTGGTTGTGCTCCTTGACCCATGCTTGGAGTAAGTACGTAGGTCAGGTATATTTTGGGTTGGGGGGTGAAATTTATATCATTCAATCATGTATTGTCTACTTTTTTTATTGTAATGTTTCAACAATGATATTTGTGACCTATGTCACATGGATTTGAGTATGGGGATCAGATACAAAGTGTGTGTTAAAGGTCTCGTGCCAAAGGACACCATGACACAGCTAAATTATACATATTTTAAATACTTAATTTATTTATTTAAGATAAAATGATGTTTACAGAGTAGCATGGAGCATTTTATGCATTGAATGTCTTATACATGGTGTCATAGTAAACTATACTATGTATTGGCTATGTATACATCAGTATTTAAAAAGTTTCACTGTGTAGGTTAAACTAGTTTTACTACTAAGTTGTGATATGTAGGTATATATAGAGGTAAACAAAATGCGACTTATTCCATGTGGGAAGTACTGAGTAAAAAGTTTAATGGAATAGTCAAATCTAGGTCCTAGAGATGTTTGTCCCACATCGGAAAAAGAAACAAAGGATCTCTTACAAGTTTTGTATATAAGAGTAGTCTCACTATTGTTGTTGTATCTCCTCTCCTTTACAGAGGATGACATCGCCTAATGAGTGAATTCTTCTCACCCTTTTCTTTTACAAAATTTCCCCCCTAACCATAGTCCATGTTTTAAGCATTAATGCAATTTGGCTTGCTGACCCAGTAATGTTGCCAATTTAATCGTTGAGGGTTGAACTTCTATAGTGATCCAAAACTAAGCAAAAATTTGAAATGAAATAAGGTTTATGTAATGCCGTGGTTCTGTTTTGGCTTAAAAATTGGAGAACCAACCTAGGTTGGTTTATTTTTGGGTTATGCATCAAACTAAACCGAAACAACCCATGTGCACCTGTAGTTCGATGTATGCGGGATCCTTTGTCATCACTTATGTTGGTCCCATTAATGTGGGGTTTTAGAAGGGGGTAGACTAGGTGCAGTCCTTACCTTACCTTTGCTACTCACTCAAAACTGTGTGCTCACGCTTGATAGCCCAAGTTTTTTGACCATTTCCCCTAGCGATGCATCCTATAGAAATAAATATGATGTCTTATAAAATAAGTTTGTGGAATGGCCCCCACTGTCGTCAGGGTTCTTGATTCCTCCACTGGAGCCCAACTTTGGTCCAAACTTTTGGATCCATGACTAAACAAAACCAGAATGTGACTAACAGATTTTGTCTTGAAGTATTTGATATTTTGGTTCATATATATATATAATACATTTATATTACCAGGAGCATGTTTTTTCTGATGACCTTTTTACACAGCGGTAGTAAATTTGTTTGTATCTGCAGAGGTTATCAAAGGTAATGGGAAACTTGTTCCTCAAGCGGTTAAGTTTTGGGTTGAACGATATGAAAAGGATTCGAAACCTGCAATGGTTGAACTTTTGATGATGCTTTTTGAGGTAATCTGACATTTTTTAAATTAAACCCCTGAACCACACACACGTTTAAAAATTCTTTGTTGAAAGAACAATAGCTTAATAGTTTGCAAATGCTTAGTACTCTTTAATGATGCAAGTGCAACTGAGGAAGCATACTGTTGTGCAGGCATGCGGGGCAAAGCATCATATTCAACATGAGTTACTGGATGAGACTGACGTGGATGATGTAGTAGTTGCTCTTGTCAATCTGGCACAAAAAGTATCCTCTGCAGTTGGTTTAAATATGTTTCCTTTATATGCCTTTCTTCTTGTGTTGTATTCTGAGTATCCTTTGACTGACTGAATATCCAAAACCTTGAGTTTATGCGTTGACATTAGTTTCTGTAGTTTTGGCTTAACATCACCACAATCTTAGGGTGAAGTTGAAGATTACCAAAGCTCAAAAAAGAAGGAGTTCAAGAATTTCAAAGATAACCTCACTTCTTTTTGGGACAATTTGGCAATTGAGTGTCAAAATGGGCCATTGTTTGATCAGGTCTTGTTTGACAAATGCATGGATTATATTATTGCACTTTCATGGTCAGTGCTTGATTTTGGAGTGTTGAAGTTTCATTAAGGTTTTCAAGTGGGTTCGTCTGTTAATCTACTTGGTATTCATGTATTTCAGTACTCCTCCAAGAATTTATCGTCAGATTGCTTCATTGATGGGACTCCAGCTTGTCACATCATTGATAAATGCTACTAAAATGCTTGGTGAACAACGAGAAACTACTCAGAGACAGTTAAATGCTGAAAGAAAGAAACATGCTGATGGTCCACGTGTGGAATCACTGAATAAAAGGTTATCGATGACTCATGAAAAGATAACAGTGATAGAGGAAATGATGCGCAAAATATTTACTGGGTATGACGACTCTCCTTCTGACTCTCATCCTGATGAATCAGAAGGATTTCACTCAAAAAAGTTTTCCCCATTTTTTATGATCAAAAGTTTTCAAACTTGTCCAATGTGTTATTTTTTGAAGGTTATTCGTGCATCGTTACCGAGATGTTGATCCTGAAATTCGAATGTCATGCATACAGTCACTTGGTGTGTGGATTTTGTCATACCCATCACTGTTCTTGCAGGATTTATACTTGAAGTATCTTGGATGGACTTTGAATGACAAAGTTAGTTGTAATTGCCAAATAACCTTTTATGTTATTTGATCTTTCAATCACTGCTGCTAAAAACCTGACTGGCTCTTTTTGTCTTTTATAAGAATGCTGGTGTAAGGAAAGTTTCTGTCCTTGCATTGCAAAACCTTTATGAGGTGGATGATAATGTGCCATCTCTTGGACTTTTTACGGAAAGATTTTCTAGTCGAATGATTGAGCTTGCTGATGACATTGACATTTCTGTGGCTGTATGTGCCATAGGACTTGTAAAACAACTACTGAGGTATCTCCTGGTTGTTAACCTTTTGAAATCTTCTTTTTTTTTAATATCCTAACAGTTTCTGGTGACTGTTTATTCCAAGGTTGATGCATGATGAGGCTGGTATCTTTTCAGGCATCAACTCCTAAATGATGATAACTTAGGTTCTTTGTATGATCTGCTAATTGATGATCCACCGGAGATCAGGCGTGCCATTGGGGCATTAGTGTATGAGCACTTGATTGCACAGAAATTTAATAGCTCTCAACCACGTTCAAGAGGTTTCTTCAGACTGTCTTAACATCTCTACATTATGATCTTGTCAAGTCAAGCACTCATGCACATAAAAATGGTTTTTCAGGTGAAGAAAATGATTCTTCAGAGGTACATCTCGGTAGAATGTTGCAAATACTAAGAGAGTTTTCAACAGATCAAATTCTCAGTACCTATGTCATTGATGATGTTTGGGAGTACATGGATGCCATGAAGGTATGTAGACATATCAGTTTGAATGTTGGTGCCTGCTACTTGGCTGGCTAAATATTTCCTAGCTGGATTTCTGACCCAATCAATTTAAAAATATAATTACATTTATAATTTCATAATTTGTAATATTTATGTTTATTTATTTTTAATTATAGGTTAATTAGGAATTTTATTTATTTGGTTTTCTATTTATTAGGAATTCAGGTTTCCTTTTTCTATTAGGGTTAAGTTTCCTAATAATATTATAACTTAGTTTCTTATTTTAAAGTAGGGTCTTTATCCTATAAATGTTAGGGTTCATCATTGTATTATTTAGCTTGAATTAATAATATCAAGTGATCAAGGACTAACATGGGTTTAGACTTGAGTTGAAGCATGGGCAATCTGACTGTTCTTAATATTTTTAAAGGAATGTGATATTGAATATTTTCTTAGGTAAATGGTCTTACCCTAGTTGTTTTCATTTGTCACTTCTTAATCACATTTTGCTTCCTTTGTGTAAATTTTTTTTTTTTGTTTGTTGCTACTTCTTGTAGTTGGACTTCTAAAATTTTGATTGCTTACTTTTTTGTTGGTAAAATTTGTTTCAAGTTCCACTTTATTAATGGACCTTCTGATATAGAAATTAGAAAAAATAAGCGTGTTGGTGCCTAGATGAAGCCAACCAACTTGGCTTGATCCTGTCAAAGATTGCATACCAAAAAAAACAATAACCAAATGATTGTGGTTAGTGACCAGTGCCTCAAGACTAGTCTTCAGCAACTAATTTTATGTTTTAGAGTTGGGATGGTGCTCCTCTTCGACCTTATCCAACCAAACCCTAGATTCAGGCCTATAGATGAACTTCCCTTTTGTTGAAATTGTTTATGTTTTTATTTGATGGTAGTTCACATTTTCTCACAGGATTGGAAGTGCATTATCTCTATGCTCCTGGACGAGAACCCCCAGATTGAACTTACTGATGATGATTCAACAAACTTAATTCGGCTCCTCTCTGCATCTGTCAAAAAGGCAGTAGGAGAAAAGATAGTTCCTGCGACTGATAACCGAAAGCAGTACCACAATAAAGCTCAAAAGGTGAAGATGCCCTCAGTTCTATTTGCTTCTTGTAATACCCTTTTGGTTACATTATTTCTTCTAGTTTTGCTTTTTAAGCTCTGATGCCTTCTGATGCTTCGTAAATGAAAACTGTGTAGTATTTAAAAATTGAATGATATAATGAATTTCTGTCTTTCGAGTCAGGTATAAGAGTATTTGTCTGGGTTGGATTGCTTTTCTTTAGGAAATTAGTTCCTTTGATTCACCATTTTCATGTATGACTAATGTGCACTGAGAGTTTACAAGCAATATATTATTCTGTTTTGAGTTCAGATCCATTTCATCCTACATTTGTGCATCACCTCTAAGAGCATCTCCAACGCTTCATCAAATTCGAGTAAAAATTTGATGAAAAGTTTGATTTGATATATGATGCACTCCAATGGTAAATTTAAAATTTTCATCAAATCTTGTTACAAGCCTGGTGTGGAAATTGATGATAAAGAAAGCCCGGTTGTCTGGGAGGATGTCCGGCCCAACGTCCACCTACAAAATTTGATGAAAGGATAAAGCTCCCTTGATTTGTTGAAAAATTTGACTCTGCCCCTTCATTTGATATTGGTTTGATGAAATGGTTGGAGCTGGGTTTTAATGCATTTTTCATCAAATTTGAATTTGATGAAACATTTGATGACGGATTGGAGATGGCCTAACATGAGAAATGATAGCGACACAGAACCAACCACAAACCATTATGTGGGGCTCACAGCCTTGGGAGAGGTTTGTGGTTGGTTCTGTGATGATTTCTGTGTATGTTGTGTTACTATTAACACAAGGGTGCTACAGGCCAATTCAGGAAAGTGTCTAGCCAAGAACCAAACTTACTTGGACTAACTCTCAAAATTTGACCTATGAATGAATCACCTTAGGGAGGAACTGGACCAAGCTAACCTCTCTGGTTGGTTCGGGGTCTGTTTTTGAGTTGGAATACTTCCAAGAAGGTGAATCATGGATGGCCTGACTTGTTCATCACTCATTAGTAGCATGGTCTGATTCTAAGCTCAATCATGAGCCATGTCTTTCTTATGTCCTTCACCCCCATTTGGGACTTATACATACATTACTATCATCATACCACCACTTTGGTATCCTACGCTGGGAGTACGCTTAGGGATCCACCACTCTGAATTGCTGGAGAATTGTGGCTTGGAGACTAGGATCAAGGATTTGTCTAGGATGCTTGGCTCATTTTCCCTTAAGGAGAAGCCATACCTTGATTAGTTTTAGAGAGAGAGACAGAGAGGCGCTAACCCAAACATGACACTTCAAAAGAGGTATCATGCCTACCACTTATGTCATGCTATGATAGATCCTCACGATATTATACCTAACTTTGCAGCTCTCATGATGTGAACCCCAAGGTCTGAATTATGGGATGCATAGGTAGAAATGATACCTCTGCTTTGTTGAACCAAGGGGGGTCGGCCACTTGTCCACAAGTGAGCTGGCCTTCAATGATCTAGGACCTTATATAAGGAGGTATCCTCGCAACGTAAACAACATACAACTGGACCCATCTTTTTCTTCCACTTGCTCCTTGCAGTAGTCTCTCTCTCATTGCCATCCTCTCTTCCTCTAAGGCTACTTTGGTTCTCTCATCCTCCACCTCCAACGATTTCCATGCCATTGAAGTGCTCACCATCTTTCTAGAGGTTCACAACTGACCACCTCACCTACCATTGCCTACAAAGAGAATATAAAATGGTGGGCTCAGTCTGAGCCTCTCAAGTTTCATTCCACAAAGCCCTTTATCCAACAATGGAGGCTTCCATGTTCGCACTTCAATTTCCAACTCAATCTATACACAAAGGAATATTTGAGATATCTCATGGGTTAGAGACGTGCCTTACATTTGCATCAAGATCCTAATTCACCTTATATATGTTCATTATGTTCAGAGGCGCCTTCCATTGGGATAGGAATCTGAATTTCTGATATCATTGCTGAATTAAAAGGACCTTGTTTATTGCCTTACTCAAACTATAGCAGGGCCTACGAGAACTTATATGGGGATGCCACTGTGGTATTGATTAAAAAGATATGTGCGATTTAATATTTAGTGGTAGGGATGGATTACCTAACCTATTTGTCCAGCACTGAAAGGATTTTGATTGGTTTTATTTCTTTTTACCAAACCAAGCGTGAATTTAAAACTACACTGAATGAACACAAGATAGTTGGGTTGGTTCAAGCCTTAGATTGTTCTGAACCAAGTTGCCCAAATATGTAAAGCGCTTGTTTTCTTTGGGTTTCACAGTTATCTGAGATGTCCAATTGAGTTCATTCAGCTCATGTCTGGAGAAATTTACTTATGAGGTTCTGTTTTTTTTTTTTTTCTATAATTATCAGGAAATGATTGAAAACAATAGGCGAGATGTTACTATCTCCATGATGAAGCGGTACCCTCAGCTGCTACGCAAATTCATGGCTGACAAGTCAAAGATAGCACCACTGGTTGATATTATTGTTTATATGAACCTAGAACTTTATTCCCTGAAGAGACAGGAGCAGGTTGGTTGCGGGAGTTTTACCATGCAAGTCATTCCTTATGGTTTACAGCCTAGGCGCAAAGTGAATGTTTAATTGCTTGCCTTTTCAGAGTTTCAAAATGGTTCTTCAGCTAGTGAAAGAGGCATTCCTTAAACATGGTGAGAAGGATGCTCTGAGGAGTTGCGTGAAGGCTATCAATTTCTGTTCCACAGAGAGTCGAGGAGAGTTACAAGATTTTGCTCAAAATAAATTGAAGGAACTTGAGGATGAACTTATTGCTAAGCTTAAATCTGCAATGGGAGAAGTAGCGGTATATTTCTACTGGACAACTATTTTACTTCTTTTATTCTAGTTATTCAGATCAATTTTGATATGTTTCAATGCTCCAGGATGGTGAAGATGAATACTCACTTCTTGTAAATTCAAAAAGGTTGTATGAGCTCCAATTGTCAAGATCTTTTCCTATTGATAGTTTATATGAAGACATGGCTGTGTTTCTTCAGAGTTTTAGGAACATTGATGATGAGGTGTGTGTAATGAAGTGTCCACTAGATTCACATTTTGTTTACTTCGGCTTTGCTTATGGTTTTGCTGTTCATGTTCTTTCAGGTTGTCAGTTTTCTGCTTCTCAACATGTATTTGCATGTTGCCTGGTGCCTGCAATCTATAATAAACAGTGAAACTGTCTCTGAAGCATCTCTGTCTTCCTTGTTGTCGAAACGCACTACCTTGATTGAGCACCTTGAGTACTACCTGCAAACCCCTCCTGAAGTTCAGGTTGAAGTTAAACGTGGAAATCAGCTAGTGTGTAGGGTAAGCATTCTTTGCAGTGATTGATTTATGAACTTCTACATGGCCATATATTTGCCATGAAGCATGTTATTGAAGTATCCTCTATTGAATTGTGCAAGAACATTGGTCTAATAAAATGTGCTTTTTGTCCAAGGTTTGCACTATTTTTGCAGAACTGTGGTGTTTATTCAGAAAGACAAATTTTGCATCAACAAAGCTGGAAAATTTAGGGTATTGTCCCAATGAGTCCGTTCTTCAAAAGTTTTGGAGACTTTGTGAACAACAGCTCAATATCTCAGGTGACTTGACTTTCTAATTTTTACTGTTAGGCTACAATTGTGCATGATAGGGTGATTTTAAGTTCATCTGCTGGTTTATATGTGATATATAACAGATAATTGTAATGAATCACTGAAAAGAAAAATAATCACAAGGTGATGGTATTCCTTATAATTAAGTGTACAACATCTGCTACTATTTATAAATATGATATGACATTAATTATGTGCTTTCCAAGGTTTACATCAAGAATTTCTGTATATGATAGGATGAAGTGATAAGTTTTCTATTGTTGTTGGGATAGATATAATAGATGCATCACCAAAAACTAAACAATATGATGGTGAATTGCTTTACAGTTTGACCTTTGTTCCAGGCGTGTGCTCATATGATGGTTGATGATGTGAGTGATTTGTTGCTAAAATAGCTTTAAAAGGAAAATTCCTTCGCCATAAAATTAGTTTTTGATGTTTTTAGAGTACAGATTTAATCCTCTGTGGGATTCCATGCTTAGCTGATGTGCAAGTGATTGTTATTGCCAGAGGGCTGAAAGTTTTTGCCAACATCATTTATTAGCTGGACTGGCATTGGGTAACAACCTTTCTATTGTTTGTCTCCTTTGTGAGATGATGGACTGGATTTGATTTTCTGAATGCATGGGGGTATTTTATGGGATTTTTTTTTTTTTTTTTGTGTGTGTGTGTATCTTGGAGGATGTCTTTCCGTCTACCATTTTCTTCCTTTATGATCTCTTAGTTTCCCATCTGCGGCAGGCAGTAGTGTATAGGCAACTTGTGTCTGTGGGTAATCCTGAATCTTGTATGTCTAGCCACATATCTCCGTGCACCTGAATGCTAGTGTTGGTTTTTCCATGAGAAATATACACATAAAGGTTTAGCATGTCATATGCACTTTGGCTTTTTAGCTAATTTGTAACAGTTTTTCGTTAGTTCCTATAGACTTACTGTGCAGTACGGAAATCAGTTTGCATAGCTGACTTCTTTAGTTAGGACATGATACCCAGTTCATTACCATATATGAGGGAAATACTATGTGATATGTCGCGTAGATTTCGTTTAACAAATATCACATTGTATTGCTTCAGGAGAAATGGGAAATTGATAGTAGACTACTTGAGAGATAATGATAATAAAACGGATTAAAAAGAACCCATGGTGAAAATGGAATATAGTTCTAGACTGGTTTAAAAGATTTTTGGTATTTAACTTTAATGGCCATGCATTATTTCTGTGGTAGTAACAAAGCATATGAATTTTAATTTAACTGAACATGTAACCCTTGACAGAGCGGAATGATGAAAAAGGATTCATGTAGCCGATTCCACTTGATTGGGACATAAAACTTGGTTTGGATTGACTCATGCATTATGTCTGTAATGTTAAAGGTGTGGCCAGATGAATTGAGCATTTGGATTATATTATGAACAGAAAATGTCTAACTTAGTCATTTCATTGTTTTAATGTGTTTTGGTTAGTTATTAATTTTCCTTTTTTACCATTGATGTCTGTGAGTGTCTTGTGTATGGAGTACGCATATTTTTTGTTGTTACCTATTCAGATTAATTACTGGGAGTCTGGAACTCACCTGTTCTTTAACATGATTTTCAGTTAAAATGTGATATTTATCAAATGAAATCCAGCATTCTGCACTCATTTTTAGCTTTTCCCATCCCTAAAACTTCAAATGTATCTCCTATGGGTTTCTGTAGATGAGACAGAGGATGAAGATATCCATAAAGAGTATGTTGAGGAGACTAATCGACAAGCAATTATGATTGCTGCTGCCAAGTTAATTGCTAACGACACAGTTCCTGAGGTGAACATTTATTTGCGATTTTATAGAAGTTCAATGATGACACTCTTTTTGGTTGGGCAAACTTATTATGAATTCTACATTTGGAAGATTACTATCACGTAACTGGTTAGGAGTACGGCCTTGTGAGACTGTGGAAGCTGTTTAGTTGTCCAATCTAACCACATAAAATGCGTTGTAGATTGGTTAACTAAATTTTTTTGTTTTTGTTTTTCCCATTAATTGCTATAAAAAAGGAAGGAAAGAAGAATGCTTAATGGCTATTCTGAATGCAGGATTATCTTGGCCCGGAGATCGTTTCCCATTTTGTGATGCATGGCACAAGTGTGGCTGAGATTGTGAAACACCTCATAGCTGTTTTAAAGAAAAAGAATGACGATGTGTCCAACATCTTTTTAGAAGCACTGAAACGGGTAATGCTTGGGACTTTGTGGTCTGGTTTGACCAATTGATATTTGTTATAATTCCAAAATCTTATGCAGAAATAATAATTTTTCTGTCCCTGAATATGTGTGGAATGTATGGTATGAATTGGTGATATTATTGACAAATCACTCCAGATAGAAAAAACTGCAATGGATGCCATGCATTTAGATTTACTCGAACATGGTAGTTGAAGTTCTGGAGAATTTTTTCATGATATGAAAACATGGTCTTACTTTTAATTTATCTTCATTTGGTTTTATTTTTAACCTCAGCTGGATGTTAACTTTCTTTTATCTTGCTTTTGACTAGGCATACCATCGGCATATGATGGTAGTTTCAGAAAGCAATGATGGATCTCTTGCTGGCAAGTCTTTTCAAGAATGTAAAGATCTGGCTGCTCGGCTTTCTGGAACATTCGTAGGTGCTGCTCGAAACAAGCATAGATCAGACATATTGAAAATTGTCAAGGATGGTATTGAGTATGCTTTTGTTGATGCTCCAAAGCAGCTATCTTTTTTGGATGGGGCTGTGGTCCATTTTGTTTCCAAACTTCCTACACCTGATATCCTTGAAATGTAAGAGTGAATCTTTTTGACTTTTTCTTCTATAAGTTCTCTAACATATACATTTGGAAGGCAAATGTTAATGCTCCATCATTGTTGCAATAGTTTGAAGGATGTCCAAAAACGAACAGAGAACGTGAATACAGAGGTAGATCCTAGTGGATGGCGCCCCTATCACACGTTTGTAGACAGTTTAAAAGAAAAGTATGCGAAAAATGAAGGTTTCCAAGGTATAATTGGTCTTCCAATTGTTTCTTTAAAAAATCATGAAAGCTATTCTTTCTTCTTCGTAGTCACTTTGGTGTTGCCAGGCTTCTCCCTGGCAGGGCACCCCTTTTATCATTTAGTTTCAATTGCATTTAAATAGAGACCATTTCTGCTCGTTCTCTCTCAGTTCTAACTCTTGTGCTTCCTAATGTTACATTCTTTTCCTCACTAATATCAGGATTTAGAAAATAGAAAAAAATAGAAAATTTCTTTTGATATTAATGCTAATTTTGTATATTGTTGTTCAACCTTAACTTTGCCTGTGCTTAGTGTTTCATTTCTACACAGCCGTCCCCTAGCCCAGATAAGGAGGGTTGTGTATTAGGTAGCCTGATCTTAGTAGTAGGAAACTCTTACTTGGATGACGTTTCTTACTTAGAAACGCAATTATGCGCTCTCAAGTAAGAAACTCGTAAAAAACTCACTTCGAAGTTCTACCTGAGAGAGAATCTCTTGAACATACAAATCTCAAATAAATAAAAGAAAGACAACTCAAACTTATTCTAGTGCTTTTTACTTGTATAATACTTTTTTGATAAAAACAATTTGTAGTTGACATAATTCTCCAGTAATAATTCATTTTTTCACACATTACAATTGACAAATAAGCAGAAAAAATAAATGTTTATATTTAATATATAAAATATGAGAAATGCTAGAAACTCACAATTTAGATCTCAAATTCACCCATAATGATGTGGCAAGGTAGTGGTGCTATATATGATGGAGTGTGATAAATTAAAAATTGACATCTATCATGTCGTTGCCACATCATTGTGGGTCAAATTAGGGGAGTTTTTTTTAGAGCACTCAGATATTTTCCATAACATATATACATGCCTCTATAGGTGCTCCTAATCTAAAAAACTTATATATGTCCTCGCTCCCCCACCCCCGTTATTGTTTCTACTCTTGCCCGCACCCCCACTTCTTGCAACTAAGAGCCAGCCTGATAGTTAGCACATAAAAGTTCTCGTCAGATCCCTTATGAACATAAATCCTAACATGAATATGCGTGTAAGGTTTAAAGCGTTCTCCGTAAGCGACATGTTGCGTAGATGTTTTGAAAAATGGGTAAGGGGTGCCGCATCGACACCCGTTTACGGGGGAAAGAGGTAAGGGTCCTTGTGCTTTCTTGGACAAGTGCATGGAAAGAAGTTAGTCCAACATTTGAAGTTTAGATTAACAACTTGGAATATAGAGACACTAATAGGTAAAATTATGAAATTAGTAGATACTATGATTAGAAGGAAAGTTAGTATAGCATGTTGACAAGAAACTAAGTAGGTAAGTGAGAAAGCAATGAAATCTAGAATATTGAGTATAAAGATTTATCTAAAAACACTTGGTGTTTGAATAGTGAGATACATTCTTATAGATTTAGAAAAAGAGTAAATAGAATTATGGTAGGTGCTAAAAAAAATAAGTTTGACTTAAGGATATATTGATGCAATAAAAGACCTGTATAATGGGATTGTGACTACAAAGTAAATTTTCAATTATTGTATGCTAAGAAGCGCGGATATAGACAAGTGACACGACATTGACATGACACCAACACATTGATACCAAAAAATTTAGGATATGACACGTAGGTGATAGCAAGGTTCTGAAAAACGATTGCGGTCGCCGTAACGGTGGCGGTGACGCGGTTGCGGTTGCGGTTGCGGTTGCGGTTGCGGGGTGTAAAGGCCGTAGTGCAACGGTTGCGGTAATCGGAACCGTGAATTTTTTTATTTTTTGCACAATTGAAAAAAATTTACCAATACACATATTTTTTTCCATGATCATATTTATTGGATTAAAAATAAATATTGATCAATTTTTGTAAATTTTTAAGTATGATCCAATATATTTCATATTTTTAAATCACTATAAACTGAGTTTTTTACATTTTATTTTAATAATTAATGACTTTATATTATACAAAAAATCAATCACTAACTATTATATATAAGATAAACAATGACAAAATTAAGAGAATAAATAAGAGCCTAAATATATATATATATATATATACATATTTTAATCAAGCCAAATAGATAATGACCACACTTATTATTATTATTATTTTCAAACAATATATAGATAGACACACACAAACAAAATGGTTTAGTAATAGCAGCTGAATAGAATAGCATAGGTCTTACAGTTTCAACAAATCAATAACATGTACTTCATCTTTCCTCTTCTCTCTCTATCTGTTGCTCCTCCATTTTCTCTCTTTATCTTCCCTCTTCTCTCTGTCTCTCTTCCCTCATTTTCAGCTTTTTTTTGTGTGTTTTTTCAAAAGAAATAGTTTGGAACCGTTACGTAACGGTGCGTAACAGGCCGTTACGACACCGTTACGACTGCTACGGCAGCCGCTACGGCTGACACACCTGTGAATCTCAATCACACTACAAAAGCGGCCGTAACGGGTGGCGGTAATCGCCAAAACCGTTACGTAACGGCGTTACATAACAGTTGCGGCCGCTTTTTAAAACCTTCGGTGATAGGCAAAATATAATTTTATATATTTTTTATATGACATGTATAAGCATCTATGAAGCACGGGTACTCCAAAAATAGTGCCGTACACGCACCGGGTACTTACTGGGTGCGGGTACGCGTATCGGTACGGCTGCACGCGTACCGGGTACGGCAAAAACCAGTTCGGTACGTCTGCCTCAGTTGGGTACGTCATGGGTACGGCTCGGGTACGGCATGGGTATGCCTTCGGTACGTTTTGGGTACGTCGGGGGCAGAAATCAATTTTTTTGAAAAATTAAGGGGTACCGAAGCAATATTAAGAAAAAAAATTTAAAAAAAAAAAGAAAAAATGTGCATACCCGTATACGAATGCCCTAAGCTTCACTGTAATAATAAATATTAGAGATGAAAATGTTAATAATCATAAATGGTAATAATCATAAATATTATTATTAGTTATTAATAATAAAAAATTACTTCATCTTTATTTATTATTATTTTTTTCTTGTTTCTTCTTTAGTTATTAATACTGAAAATGCTAATAAATATTAATAATAAATATTAGAGATGAAAATGTTAATAATCATAAATGGTAATAATCATAAATATTATTATTAGTTATTAATAATAAAAAATTACTTCATCTTTATTTATTATTATTTTTTTCTTGTTTCTTCTTTAGTTATTAATACTGAAAATGCTAATAAATATTAATAATAAATATTAGAGATGAAAATGTTAATAATCATAAATGGTAATAATCATAAATATTATTATTAGTTATTAATAATAAAAAATTACTTCATCTTTATTTATTATTATTTTTTTCTTGTTTCTTCTTTAGTTATTAATACTGAAAATGCTAATAAATATTAATAATAAATATTAGAGATGAAAATGTTAATAATCATAAATGGTAATAATCATAAATATTATTATTAGTTATTAATAATAACAAATTTGAGATGAAAATGCTAATAATAAAAAAAATTAGTTATTCCTGAAAAAACAGTTTATGCTTATAGGATGTAATACGCAGTTTAGTTAAATTAGATGTATAAGCTTTTCACCACAGTTTATGCTTATAAAACAGTTTAGTTAATAATCAAAAATATTATTTTTTATGCTTATAAGAAAATGAGTTCATCAATTTGTACGTTGGATCTTTCAACCATAATTATAAAAAAATTAAAAAATATTGGTGTACCGCAGCCGTACCCGTACCCTACTTTTTTGGGGTTTTGCCGTATCGGCGTACCCGTACTCGTACCCGTACCGTACTCGTACCCGCACCCGTGCTTCATAGCTAAAAACCATAGAGCTTTCACATCAAAATTAAAAAAATTAAAAAATATTGGTGTACCGCAGCCGTACCCGTACCCTACTTTTTTGGGGTTTTGCCGTATCGGCGTACCCGTACTCGTACCCGTACCGTACTCGTACCCGCACCCGTGCTTCATAGATAAGCATAAACAATTATTATATATTATATGTATGAATAATTCATGTAAGGGTAAATTACAATTACCACCCTGAGATTTTCTTAAAATACGAATTATTCCCTGTGGTTTGAAAATTACGTTTCTAATTTCATAACAAATGATCATTTTTATTAATAAATTATCAAGTCAATTAATAGTTTTTAATGATGTCAGAAATGTATTTTAATTAATAATTCAAGTAATTTTATTACTATATAGGAGAACAGTTGGGAGTTTTATTTTTTTCTGTTAAATAAATTTTTTTGACAAGGGGGTCTTTGTAATTTTTCAAATCATAGGAGCCAATTCGTATTTTAAGCAAACCTCTCAGGGGGTGTATTTATAATTTTTCCTTAATTTAAATATAATAATTTTGAAGTCTAAATGAGGAAAATATGTACAAATTTACGTTATTTTTTTCATCGTTATATTTTATATTTTTTTATTCAAACTTGTAATGTGTTTCATGTTTGTTTAAGCGATCAACACATTTTCCAAGTGTCAAAAGTATGTCCAGGTCTATAATTTTTTAAAAATAGTAGTACATGTTTGGACGTGTTTCTGACAATTATTGGAAAGTGTGATAAATGTCGTGTCAGTGTCCGACTGCTACCTTCTTAGAAGTGTTCAGACTTTTTAGAATATAAGATTGCGTCAAGGACTAGCTTTGAGTCCTTGCCTATTTGATTTAGTTATGGATGAATGAATTAACTAAACACATTCAAGATGATACCCCATGATGTACGTTGTTCACTGATGATACTGTTCTACTAGATTGAACTAAGGAAGGAGTTGACACTAAAGTAGAAATTTGGAGAGAAACACTTGAGCAAAAAGATTTAAAATTTGTAGAAACAAAAGTAAAATATATAGAATGTAACTTTAGTGACAGTAGAAGTAGAAATAATAGAGAAGTGAAGTTTGAAAACTAGAAGATAACAAATAGTGAACATTTCCGTTACCTAGGTTTTTATTATTATCATGGAAGGTGAGCTTGGAGATGATGTGATTTATAGAATCAAAATAGGTTGGTTCTAGTGGAAGAGTCTGTTTGACATATTAAATAGTTGACTAATACCAAGAAAATTGAAAGGAAGATTTTATAGAACAGTTAATAAGACCAGCAATGCTTTATAGGACACAATATTGGGAAAATAAGAAACGTGTTTATAAAATGAGTGTAGCTGAGATGACAATGCTTAAATGGATGTGTTGTAAGACTAAAAAATATAGAATTAGAAGTGAATATATTTGTGAAATGGTAAAAGTAGCACCAATTAAACATGAGTTAAGAGAGAAAACGCTAAGATGGCTATGTTTGAATGGCAGGACTGGAGAGGTGGAATGGCAATCTCATTCCAATTGTCTTTCATTCTGTTGTTTGGGTGCATTCAAAATTCAGAATGTGATTCCTAGTTTGGTTCCCAAGATAGAATGAGATAATCACCCTAAGTGGGAATCCTATTCCCACATCGCCCCTATTTAAGAATAAAGCAGGTAGGTGGGCCCATAATATTTAAAATTATATCATATTCCTATAGAGGATTCTTAGGCAAACCAATTGCTTGAATTGCATTAACACTAGAATATTATTACTAGTAATGGGTATCCTTATAACAGGATTTTTATTCATTTTCTTTGAATTTTTTTATTTGGTTATTCAAACATAGCCTAAATGGAAATGTTAGGGATATGGGAAGACCATGCTTAGTTTAACTGAATGGCAAAAAAGGTTTGATGTAGCTGATCTCACTTGATTGGGTTAGAAGCCTTAGCTTTGTTTGTTTACTGTTGTTCAACATTTCTTCTTGCGCACCTACTGATTTGGGCTTGAACTACATTTCTTGTTCTCCGTTGACACGAGGATTGATGTCACTTTGAGTTGCAGATGAAAAAGAAGGGTCGACTGTGAGACGCCGAGGTCGTCCACGTAAGAGACAAAATGTTCAGGGAAAGAAACTTTTTGATGAGCACGGTTCAAGTGAAGAAGAGGATTCAATCAGTGCATCTGACCATGATGCTCGAGATGAAGAACAGCAGGAAGACGAGGAAGATGCACCTTTGATACATTCACTTAGGTCAGCATCCAAGCTGCGTTCATTGAGAGTTTCAAGAGAGGAAAATAAAGGGGAGAATTTGGCTGCTTCCAGAACATCAGGTATGAATTGTGATTACTTTATGCCATGTTTGATTGCTAATTTGGTTCGGATGATTACTCTTACCATGCCAGTTTAATCAGCTCTGTTATGCCAGAAACTAAATGCACTCTCGTTCACTTGCATAGTTGCATTTATGGTTATGGATCCATATAGTTCATAATGTAAGTGCATTTACGACAGATTTTTGGGGCTGAGTAGCCATATTAAAAAAAGTACAAATTAAAAATATCAAAAACACTTTGGTAAATTTGAATCTGGAGCTAGGTCTTTATTTTCTCCGAGTTAATCAAACATGGAAATATGATTATGGGATTGCTAGTAAGTTGACCACCCTTTTACAGGTACCACATCATATCATCAATGTCTAGGTTCTTTTTGACCTATGAACACAAAGATCGTCTTTGATGCTGAGTCATCACTAAGCATTGCAATTATTTTGGCAGATCTGCATATTCTAAGGTTTGTTGTCTGTTGTGCAGGGCCTTCTAGCTAGTAACTGCAGTGTTCAATATGCACGTTTAAGATGGTGAGGCATGAGGTTTTTCCATGAACCTATTCCTCCTCTCAACATTTCTGGTTGGAATTTTGAGACTCTAGAAACAATGTGTTGCTTAAAAGTCAAGAACTCATTCATGTAAAATTGTAAAGATTGTGAAGTGGAGTAGAGCAGCCATGTGGAGACGCTCTGGTGTTTTGACAGGATGTTGAACCGATGTTTGTTTGTTGTATGGAAGTTTGTAAACATTGGGCGCTTCCTCATCTGTTCGACTGGTGAATTTGCATTTGCTATTTTTCTCCTAATGTCGTTTTCTGATTAGCACATTTTGGTACTACTAAATTTGAAATTGTCAAAATTATTTTGGATAAAGCCATCCCAAGAGAGAAAGCAATCAAAATTACCTTTTGATGGACAAATCCAGTTGAGAAAGAGATAATGGTGCATTGTCCACCATAGTCTGACATCTAAGCAATATAATGAACATTTCATTAGGAGGGTTAAAGACATTCTTTCCTTGTATTCCTATTATCATTTTAGTGAATCAAACACCACCTTAATTCTATACAAAAAATGCAGGTATCAAACTTGTTAAGACAAATTCTATAAGCAATGAATAGTGAAAGCTTGAAGGCAAGCAGCCAGATCCTGAGTCCTGACCAGTAATTCTTAGAACTTTACAGCAGCTCATCAAAGCATAATTCCAAGTTGAGCACAAAATCTCTCAATACCCAATTCCACCAAAAGTCACCGACTATTTGGTGCACTTAATCAGGCTGCTTATCCCTTTCCGATGTGCTGCCGCCGCCCCACCAATTAAACATGAGTTAAGAGAAGCGTGGTTGCTTATGTTTGTTTGTTTGTTTGTTTGTTTTTTTTTTCAACAATGTTGAGTCCTTTAATTTATCAGTTCTAATAAATGACCCATAATGATAGGAGGTTGCTTGCATTAGGGGTGTGCGTGGGTCAGTTTCGGTCACGGAACCTTCAATCTGTCATCCATCCGCTAGATGGGTGAATTAAAAAAAATTAATCCGCATTCGTCTGTTAATCCGTCGGATGTGGATTGGCGGATGGATGCAAATCGATATGGTGGTTTAAAATTTTATAAATTTTCAACATAATTTAACTTATCCACTTCCTTAAAAAAAAAAAATTACAATCAATTATTTAAAAAAGTATTACAATCATTACATGCTTCATCCAAAGAAAAAAAGTTTGAAACTTTAAAATATTACAACCATATTATGCCTTATCCACATAAAGTATTACAATTTGTGATTTTTAAAATATAAAAATAATTTAAACCACCAAAATCATGAACAGGACAATAGTAGAGATTGTATGTTTTCGTATTGTTACATCTGTATCTATTTTTGAAAACAAAAACCAACCAGCATATATCATCTTTTTTATTTATTATTTTTAGAGTTAGATTTAAAAACAAAAAATATAGATAAATAATATATTTATATTTTTCAATTCAAAAAATATATTCAATTTGAAAACTCTTTTTCAATAGAATATTTAAACTCTTTTTCAATTGAAAACACAAATAGAATATCTAAACAAATTGAAAACATAAAACCTTACAAATTATTAAAGTACTCATTTTTTACTTTTTTATTTTTATTTTTATTTTTGTTAATTTAAGAATTGAAAAGTATTTATTAAATGGATGTATTGGATATGTTTAAAATGGTGGACAATAACTAATATTTTTATATAGATTGGTGATTATATTTAAAAGTGGCTCAAGTTTGAAATGTCCTAAACCGATTAAACCACATTGAACTAAACTGTTTCAATCGTTTTGGTTCGATTTGATGGGTGAAGTGATCTGTATTGATATTTAAAATAATAAAAATGATATTATCGATTCGATAAATTTTTTTACCTAAATATCGACCGTACCAAACTAATTATATTATACCGAACTAATAGTCCCTCCATTAGTAGGACCACAATCCTATAAAAGGGTTGAGATTAAAAATTAAGTGGGAAGATTAAGAAACTTTTAAACAAAATTTATATTTAAAAAAATTATAACATTAAAAAAATATTTAAAATGAAAAAATAATTTTAATATTTATAATATTATTAATCTGATAATATATAATAAACACTTTTTATTTTATATTTTTAATTTAATATTATTATATTAATAAATCAACGCACTCAATTTCTGGTGGCTCAGGCTATCATCAGCAGCGTACGTTAGCAGCCTCTCTGTCGATATCATAGACTTTTATTATATTACAGTACTCATTTTTCCTTTCCTAAATAATCAAAAATCAAAAATCAAAATCAAGATGAAAATCAAACTATATAAAGCGTAAGTTAACGTAGTGTCCACAGTCAGACATTACTCAGTACTACTCCCCAAATCCCAACTCACATTTTAGACACCCTGAATCTCTCTCTATCTCTCTGTCTCTCTCCGATTTTTGGCGTCGAAGCTTCGTTTTCTCGACCTCTCTCTCTCCGATTCTCTCTCTTCAATCACCGTTACAGTTCACAAAGGTAATCTCTTTCTCTCTCTCTCTCTCTCTCTCTCTCGAAAATTTCACTGTTTCTCGACTGTTTCTCTGTGTTGTTCGCCCTGTATACAGTTCTTTTCCATAAATCTTCGAAACCTTTCACTCAAATTTGCCTAGGGTTTCAACGTCAAAATTGACTCTATTTTGCCTAAAATCTAGGGTTTTCTTTCACTTCTTCTGAAGTTTTTACATCTATTTTTTTTTTTTTTTATAGATACTTAAGAAGAATCTTGAGCGAGCGTATATATATGTAATGTATATATCGCTGTATTTATAGTTTTTTTTTTCTGTAGCTGTAGATTTCGAAGAATGAGGCGCGCCAAGGAAGAACCATCAAGCAGCGGTAGACGTCAAGTAAGCACATCTCCATTCCTTTCTCAAAATTTCAAATTCGAGTAGAACCTTTATTTGATATGCATCACTCCAAAGGAAAAATTCAGATTTAAGCATAAATTTGGTTAACAAATTCACTAATTATAGAGTGGTAAATTTGATAGCCACAAAATAGCTTTGAATATTTGAGTAAACATTTGAGTCTCCTTTGATTTGGGTAAAAAATTGAGTAAAACCCAATTTTGATTTAGTTTGGGTCAAGGACTGACTGGAAGTTTTAAGTGATTTTTACCCAAATTTGAATTTGAATTTGATTTGGGTTTGAGTCAAAGATTGGAGACTCCCTAAGGCTGTGTTTGGAAAGCGAAAGGGAAAAGGTTTAAAACATACCTATATTTCATCAAGTTTTACACATCTTTTCACTTTCTCTTTCCAAATCCCTCCCCAAATCCTTGAACTAAACACAGCCTAAGACTTTAACTTTAGTCCGTTGAATTGTACTTTCATTCATCTATATCACTTTTGTTGGATGGGAAAAGGGCCAAAAATTCGTCAAGTTATTTTTGCACACTCAAGTTGGGAGGAAAATTTATGTCGTATATTCTGGTTGGTATATTCTGGTTGGTCTTATTATTTATGTTTAGTTTTTTTAAAAAAAGAAAGACAATTGCTAATGACTGCCTGATGCATGTATAGAAATGTGTGAAAAGTTTATAAAAATATGTGAAAGTATTTTGAATTATGTAAAAAGTGCATTAGAATTCTAATTGTCTTGAAATTATCTCCATCATAATGATGACTACTCATAGGGTTGTGGGTAGCATGACCCTTTTTAAGAAAGAAAATTGTAAATGAAATTTTGTAAATTTGAGTGCCTTGGGGCCTTGTGGTATCCTGGGAGCTACAACAGACAATGCCAAGGCTCAAATCTACCATCTTCTTTGACCATTTGTACTTAACATTTGATGTGGCATACACCAATACTATGGATATAATAACTCCCACATGCATATCATTAATATCTAATAGTTATGGAGTATGTCACATGAGATAGTACATGCAAATGGTAAACAAATCATTTTTGGTCTATAATATATATGTAAAACGGACACCAACAGACAAATCTTGCACGAAACCGATGATTCTGGACAAGATTCTTCTAGCATCTCTAAATCCTGATGAGAGATCGAGTATGATGCATATCAAGATTGGAATGGCATCCAGAAGACAACCATACACACAAAGTGGTGTTGCCTTTATAGTTTTTTTTAATGGGAGAAAATTCTGTTTATGCTTTTTATTTTTATTATTAAGTTTTTCCTTGTAATTTTCAAGCACATTTTTTACTATTAGTTTTTTCCTCCGTATTGTAATATTATCATGTCTTTGTTTAAGTAGTTTGTAAGCAATTACATAATTAAATGGATACATTCTGATTTTTTTTAAAGGTTTTGATTTATTGAGACAGACTTTTCACTTAAAAACATGCTGTGGCTTTGTGCTCTGTTAATTTTATTTTCTATCCTTTTTTCAGTAAGTCACACATATGAAACCATCTCTGCGATACTGATACATATTAAATTTGCTTGATTAACAGACTCATCTATATGATAGTTTGTACTGTCCATTATAGTCTCAGAACTTAGAACATCAAGTGCATGCTTATTGGTAATGCTATAAGCTGTTCACAGGTCTCGTTGTTTTAAAGATACGTCTATTAGAATGAGAATTATTTTCTTAATGGTCTTGTTTGGACGGTGGGAAATTCTGTTTGCACACCACAAAAAGTCTCAGTATACACCATTTGTGTCATTCAAATATAAACTTATGAATAAAAGGTAAAATGTTCAGACATAAACTTTCGAACAAAAATGAATTGTCAGGATATATATTCCATTCAACTATTTATGTTTGAACGACTGTTTTTTGTTTGAAATATTATATCCGAACAACATAAATGGTGTGTACAAAGATTTTTTGTGGTGTGAATAGAATTACCCTTAGTTGGCTGGTAGCATAAGGGGTGGATAACAATGCCCCAGGACCTAAAGGCCAGACTAAGCATCCTATGGGATACATTGTCCAATGGTGGATAGATTATTTGCTTGGGGTTGGATTGGGGCCGGATAAGTCAGATCTGATCCCATTTCATGTTTGGAATTACAATGTACATGGGTAATTGGTAGATTAAGGTCACCAAATGACCGTAATACCCTCATTAAAATTATTACTAGTTTGTCCCTAGCATTTTGGTCAATATATAATTGACCAAGGAAGATACAAATGTGATTAGTTTTTGGAACTTTTTTGTTTGTAGCAGGTTACATGAGGGGCATCTAAGTAATTTGATATATCTATTCCTACCTTCTTTTTGTTTTTCACAAGAAACTCTCCCATCACTGTTCAATTTAAGAAACGTTATTTTCCCTCTCATACTAGTCCTAACCTTTTCTTCTTCTTTTAGCTACCAAACAAAGCCTATATGATTTTCTGACTACCATGAGATATATTATTTCTGATTTCATAAGGCATGTCTTCAGAGGATGGAGTTTTTACTTTTCTTTCTTGACCAAAAAATGAGATCGGAATATTGAAAGGGAATAAAGGACAAACAATTATTTATAGATTTATTTGCTTACTAATTTTTTCTACTGGAAAAAAAGTGGTTATCAATAACTTTGTTATCAGAATCTTACGATTCACGATTTGATTCGCAATTTTTGCAAAATCGATACGAATCTATGGGTGAATCTATTTTGGAAGTGAATCTCCAGTGAATCACACGATTCATAATCGATTCACGATTTGATTCACTTTTTACGATTCATGCAATTTTTGAAATTGTTGTGTACGACATATTTTCAACTCTTTTTTTCTCCATCTTTTTAGTGAAAATGGCATAATACAACTTTTAATAGCGTTTAATACCAAAATAACCATTCATGCAATTTTTGAAATTGTTGTGTACGACATATTTTCAACTCTTTTTTTCTCCATCTTTTTAGTGAAAATGGCATAATACAACTTTTAATAGCGTTTAATACCAAAATAACCAACATATATACATGATTTATTATTATTTTAGTGATCATGGAGTTTTTAATAGGATACAATCAGATTCAGTCAGACCTAACATATTTTTAACCTTTCTTCTCATTTTTTTTCTTTTAAAAAATCATAACGTATCTTCTAAAGATGTTTAAGATTAAAGTTACACTATGAATTATCTATTACTATTTTATTAAATTGAATATTACATGTGTGAGGTCAGTTATACTTTTTAAAATGTTTTAGGTTTTAAAATAAAAGATTCTAAATAATTCCTTGTTATTATTTGCTCACTGTTACTTAGAAAAGTATATACGTTTATTGTCCAAAGATCAACATTGTTGTTAATTATTGTTACTTTGGAAATTGATAATTTGTCTATTTGATTACTATCTTTATTAAGAATGGCTGATAAGAAATATCTAAAAAAGAAAAAAGGCAAGATGGTGATATTACATCTTTATTAAGAATGGTTGATAAGAAATAGCTAAAAAAGAAAAAAGGTAATGTGGTGATCTTACATAAGAACCTTTGTTAACTTTTTACCTATTACGTGATTATTATTCAAAATAACATTTTTATTGATTTAAGTCTAAATAGTTTATATTCATAAGATATATTTAACATCTAAATGTGTAGATATATGTTTTTCAGTAATTTAGAAAAAGTGACCGAATCTTTACGATTCACGGTTCGATTCGCGATTCGGTATAAGACCATTTCGATTCACGATACGAATCCCGATTTGACAACTATGATCAATAATATGAGAAGAGATGACATGACATGGAAACTAGGAACAACATAGTGTTATTTTCTCTTAGCTCATGGTGGTTTACAAGTTGTCTCTTACAAGTAAACTTCATATAAGAGGGATACCTTATCCTTGAAAAAAAAAAAAACAAAAAAAAGGATAGAGAGAGAGAGAGAGAGAGAGAGAGAGAGAGAGATTATATAATATAAAGAGTAAACTTTGAAGTTGACTGTTTGCATTCTGCTCTCTACCTCAATTCGAATGTGTCTCAAGATGAGGTTTTGTTGACTTGATTATCTGGCCAACTCCAACAGGCTACATCTGTATTGTTTAGTACTGTTCTGTTGGGCCATAGCATTTGATTTAGTACTCCTTATTAATTCAGTTATATGGAATTTTTTGAATGGTGGTCTACAGTGAAATGCTGCACTTGCTGTTTAACTAGCCATACTACTGTTGGGCCATTGTCTTTTGTTTTATATCTCTCCTTTTGGGCCATGACATTTGATTTAATTTTGATTCAGTCGTATGGCCCACTTTCTTTTCTCTCACACTTTCCACCCTTTGGTTAGGCCATTGACTTAATTTCAGCAGTGAAAGAGTTACACAGACTCAGCCCTCAAGATCTTAGTAAGCTAATCAGGGACTCTGAGAATAATATCCTTCAGACTGTCACTGAAAGTGGGTCATCTTTTCAGGTTGGTGTTTATTAATAAGAATTATTTTGTAATTTTAATAGTCTCTAGAGTTCGTTGTTTGTGTTCTTCTCGTCAATTTGACATATCTTAATGTTTCAGATTGATGTGGAAAAACTTGCAAGGTTTCTTCCTATGCATCTTATGGCAAAGCTCATGTCGTCTGAGAGAGATGAAGCATTGTTCAAATACTTGTTATGTGGAATTCGACTCTTGCATTCCTTGTTGGATATAGCACCTAGACATTCCAAGCTAGAGCAGGTTAGTATAAGTTAAGTCTTATTTATGATTTCAAATTTTCGTAAGTGGACTAGTAGGTTTCTAATGGTTATTAATTTTTTGAAAAGCAAGAAGAAAGAACAAATTTAAACAAAGAAAATTCTTTTCTTTCCCCTTTGCTGTGAAGAAGAAAGTGAAGAAAGAAAAAAAAAAAAAAATAGAAAAGAAGAACTCTCCTATTTGTGCAGTGCATTGCACCAGCATTTGGGGGATCTAAGTTGCACCTATTGTGGGTCCACTACATGCAGTTTTTTCTTCTCTAGGAGTGTTCATGAAATCGAGTTCTCAAAATCTGCTCAAAAGTATTGTTCACAGTTTTTGCAATTATACCATAAGGGTGGTCATCATCATCTGTTGAGTTAATAGTTCAGATGGCTAGTTCTGAGTTTCATTTGCGGAGTTCATTGGTACTGCCTTCAATGGCAATTAGTGCCTTTTCTTTTTTTCTCAATGTCTTGTGTGTGGGCTTGTGGCTTACAATATTGGTCATGAATCCATTGAGCTACCTGCCTGCTTCATCTCTGAAGGGAAGGGACCATCATATCTTCTTGCTTCGCTTGTACAGCACTTGTCACTTTAGCCTGATTTGGCGTTTATTAGAGATTATTTTGAGTTTTGAAATAATTATCTTGTAGTAGCTGACTTTTTTGTTAGTACATTTTTTTTACAAATAAATAAATAAAAAATAATCTGCACACTAAGGAAACTAACTTCCCAACCAATACTTCCACAGCTGTTCCTTGTATGCCCCTACTAGACAGATATTGGCTGTAGCTGACATATTATCTTTTGTTAGAGCATCTCCAACGCTAAATAAAAAATTTCATCAAATGTGAATAAAAAATTGATGAAAAGTTTGATTTGATACCACTCCAATACTAAAATTAGAATTTTCATCAAATTTTTTCACATCTCCTATTGTCTGGGAGGACGTCCACTGGAGGTTGTTGGGACATGAACAAAAAAAGCTGTCAAATTGCTTTAGGTGGACATCCGGTCCAACAGTAACAATTTAAATTTGATGAACGATCAAACCTGCTTCTCGGCTATTTGATATCACTTTGATGAAAACGTTGGAGCTCACTTTTTAAGACTTTTTCATCAAATTTGAATTTGGTGACAGATTTGAGTAAAGGTTGGAGATGGTCTTAGTGAGTTTGGATGCTACCTTAGGAGCTATTTGAAGTTTTTAATTCGGAGTTTCTAATTGTTCATATGTGTTTAGTGAAACTTTTGAAAGATACAGAAGTTTGGATACTTTAAAATTATTCTAGATGTTTGCAGGAGTTTACTCGGCTCAATTTGCTTTGCCCTGGGGTGTTTATGTTCCACTTAAAATTTTCAGATCTGTTCCTCACTCTTTTGAATGTGTAATTAGCCTTTATTGAAGAGTTTGCAGAAGTCTCGATCATATTGGGGAAACCATACTTACATATTTATAGTTTTCTTTCAGATTCTGCTCGACGATGTGAAAGTATCAGACCAGCTTCTTGATTTGGTTTTTTTTCTGGTTATTGTTCTCTGCAATTATAGACAGGTTGTCCATTTATCTTCTTGAAGATCTATCTGCCATGTTGTTTATCTGTACTAAGGTTTGCATGCTTTGATGTAGGAACACCACACTTCAAGTCCTATGCCTCTATTGCATTCAGCTTTAGTTTCCTGTAGTCTGTATTTATTAACTGGATGTATTTCTTCTCAGTGGCAAGATCTTGCTTCTGTTTTGGTTGTTCACAGTAAGGTAAAATTTTCTCTGCTGCATTGTTTTAATCTATGGACACTGGTCTGGTATAAATCTAAGTAATTTAGCCTGCAAAGCTACTTGTTTGCATTTAAGACCATTTATGTGGAGATTTGTTGCTCTGGCTTTTGTTTGTCTAAAAGTTGAGCCACATTTTCTTGCCGAATAGTCTTGATTACAAATTATTTTGATTTGTTAACCACTGAGGCAAAACACATTTAGCAAATGGTTGATCATGGATCTTTCTGTTACAGGTTGATATATTTATGGATGCAGCTTGTGCAGCACTTCGTGTAGACATAAAATTTCTCCACATAAAGTTGTCAGGTCAATATACTGATTTGTGCACGAAGTCAAGTTGTAATGCTGAAGGAACATTGATCTCTATGTGCCAGCAGTGCGAGGCTTCGTTGCAGTTTCTTCAATCATTGTGCCAACAAAAGTCGTTCCGAGAGCGCCTTGTTAAGAATAAGGTTTATGTTAAGAACTGTTTCACTCTATCTGTTGGAAGCAAGAAGAATTAGCAATATGGCTGTTGTTCTATATTCTATAATGTTGAAATGAGGCGAATGAAGTTATTGTATGAAAATAGTGAAACCAGAGGTACTCAACGTAGATTTAATGGCCTCTTAGTTGCTCTTGAACTCGTATTTGGTGTCCTAGTTGGAATGGGAAGTTGATTTGAACTTCCTAGACATACACAAGTCCTCAATTTGGAGCTGGTTGAATGGCCAAAATAATAGTAGTTTGCTCTTCAAATTGGGTCAACAAAGTCATGGATGGCAATTGGTGAAATTTCATATTGAGGTTTAAGTTATTATATCATGATAGTATATGTATTTGTATACGGGGTGCACCACCTTGGTGCCTCTTTAATAAAGTCTTATCTTATCAGGAAAAGAAAAACAAGATAGTGCATGTACTTACCAAACAAATATAGTATTATGTGGACTCAATATTTTTTCTCAAGACTAGTGTATGTTATTAGGTACTATTTTTTTTTAATAAATTTTTTGTGATGAGTAAATATTATTAGCTACAATTCCACTTGTCTTGTATGCCATTGGTAGAAACTTTATGATCTATGGGAACATTTGCACTTGATTTTGCAATGAATTCCAGTGTTGTTGGTCTTCCAGTTTTAATCCCGACCCCCTTGGTATCATGCCATGATGTTAAACTTGCGGCCTTTCTAAATTAAAGTCTCTCATTATTGTCCTTTAATGAATGTCTGCTTTTGCTACTATTTCAGGAACTCTGTGGAAAAGGTGGTATTCTTTTGCTTGTTCGAGCTATTTTAAACCTAAAAATCACTCCATTGTTTAGAGAATCATCCTCAGTTGTGGCTGCTGTGTCTAGGCTAAAGTCTAAAATTTTAACAATTGTAAGTCCAAGTGATTGGCATGACTGGAGGCTTAGGCTAATTGAAAATTCATCTAACTTTTACTATGTGATACTTTTTTGAATGAACTCCATTCACTTACCAACCACAACTCCTATTTCTACAGCTGTTGCATCTGTGTGAAGCAGAAAGCATTTCTTACCTGGATGAGATTGCCAGCACCCCTCAAAGCATGAATTTGGCAAAATCTGTTGCATTAGAGGTTGGTCAGAAAACCCTTTCTAGTTTGTATATTTTTACTTGTCATGCAATATGATGACACATGTTTTAATGTTTATGACACGCGCATTTTAAAATTTGGACAATTCGGCAATCATTTTTTGTAAGTAAAAGAATTCTATTATGATGCCATTAATCATCCAATTAGTTTCTTTATCATGATCAACCTACTTTATTTTTTGATATCATCTCTTTTTTCCATGGAACCTGCTTATCTGACAACCTTGTTGATTTTAATACAAATGTTATTGTGTAGGTTCTTGAGTTACTGAAGACTATGTTTGCTAGAGATCCCAAACAACTTAATGCTTGCTCTGACAAAAATTACCCAATGGGCCTTTTGCAACTGAATGCAATGCGCCTGGCAGATATCTTCTCTGATGACTCAAATTTTCGCTTTTACATCACAACATACTTTGTAAGCTTTTTACTAATGCCTGTAGCTTGTCATGGGTCCGTCTAATTCATATACTTGTTGTGATTCCCTTTTGCTAGTTTCTTATTTGTTATTGTAGTTCTCTTCATTGATGTCTTTATTCTCTTTTAGCCATGGGAAATCACATATTTTACAAGAATATGAATTACTGCATTTCTGGTTGAAAGTTATGTCCTGTTTATGGGATTTACATATGAATGGCTAACATTGTATGCTTTTTAAAATCTTTTCTATGCTGAGGTTTGCTTCTAATTCATTTCATATCTCTTCAGACAGAAGTTTTGACTGCAATTTTTTCAGTCCCCCATCAAGAGTTCTTGTCTAGTTGGTGTTCATCTGACCTTCCTTTTCCGGAAGAAGATGCTACAGTGGAGTTTGACTCACATGTGGCATCTGGGTGTGTTTTGGATTCATTGTCATCGTCAGATTTACTGAATGTAATGAGTTCAGGATTCACTCTCGTTCCTAGCATCATGCCTCGGGCTTCCTATGCGCATCAGAGAGTATCATTATTGGTCAAAATAATAGCAAATCTCCATTGTTTTGCACCAAAGATCTGTAAAGGTTGGTGTTTTTACTAACAATTTTTTTTATGCCAACTGCTATAAGAATTGTATCGCAGTTTTCTTGATCATTACGTGTAATATCTGTTTCAATTCACAGAGGAGAAGGATGTCTTCCTTAACAAGTTTCTTGAGTGCTTACGAGGGGAGCTACCTGAATCATCAGCTTCGGATGCTGAAAAAGCTCGCATAGTTATCAAGAATCTACGTAAATATTAGAATCTCATTATTAGTTGATGTGCGAAATTAAATGTGTTTTTATGTTTCTAATGACTGACATGTGTGTATAGGTTCCTTGTTGAGTCATGCAGAGTCTCTGACTCCTCCCTTTTTAAACGACGAGGATGTGCAACTGTTAAGGTGATTTAAACCTAAATTGTGTAATTACCAATTTCTTCTATTAATATTTCCTTGATATTTTATTTTGAGTTGCTTGACAATATCATGATGATTTCTGATTCTGAACTGACCTTGCGATGATCAATCACATATTCGTTAATGCAACATGATTACAAACTTCTAAAACCATTATGTTTGGTTTCTCTGCATATATATATATATATATTAAGTGTATCCCTACTCCATACTTGTCTCCTAATATTCTGTAGGCTGTAGAAAGCCAGCAACACACAATTTGAGACATCTTACACTTAAATATTTTAAGCCATTCCCGAGCTTGCACTTCTCTTTACAAGTCTTTTTTTAGCTGTTAAAAATACACACACACACACACATATATATATAATTTAAGACCTCCCACATTATAGCATGAGTATAATTAGTTGAAAGATCAGTTTTAGTCCTTTTACCTGAGCTGCTGGCCCATGATTCAGAAACATGCCAGAGAATTTTATTAAAGGGGGAGTGCTCTCATGTAGTCCCTACTCGGTGATATATGCCTTCATGGCAATGGTTAGCTAATGCATTAGCAAGTCTTTGTGTGTGCATGCGTTTTTTAATGTTTTTGACTTTTGAATTTCATCTCTTTATATTATTGAGTAGGGAAGGCCATGATCAAGATCTTTGAACCTATTCTATCCGCAACATTGATCTACATTGATGATATCCTTTTATTCCCCCCATATCTGGTACAACAATATGGCATTTTATGCTCTCAGAAAAGAAGATGAAAATTGGGGAACTTAAAATCAATTTCCTTGGCATGCACATAGCTAAGGGATAATACCAGCTCCAACCCCACATTGCCTGCCAACTTGAAGATTTCCTAAATGAACGTCTTACATACAAGCAGGTCCAACAGTTTCTTGGTATTGTAAATTACATGGCCAATTTTATTCCTAAACTGTCCAAATACAGGACTCCTTTGGCAGCCCAATTAAGGAAGAACGCTCCCTAGTGGGATGGGATCAAACACACTGCTGCAGTTATCTCTACGAGAAAACTCTCCAAAACACACCGTCCATTGAAAATCTCCCTAAGATCTCAAACACAAGTCTTCAGAGCAGTGGGACTTTTACCCTGCCAACTCTTATTGTGATTGCATGAGGTTCCACCTCAGTCACACAGCTCATAACAAGTATTAGATAGAGAATTTTTACCAAGAGTTAGTTATCTGACAGAATATAAATTAACAATGTTTTATGTGTCTATATGCTCATTTATCTGTTGTGCATTTAATTTATGAGTTATGTGTTATGAATTCAGTTGTAGTTAAACTGATGCTGTAGCACAGTTGCTTACTCTTAGAAAAATTCCTGACTCAAATTCTTAAAATTTTTGTTGCAGGGTGTTCTTTACGCAATTAGCATCACTGATTTGTCCAGCTGAATTAGAAGATAATCGAGTTCAAGTAATTTTTCCATTTATCTAATTTAGGTCCACTCTGGAATGTATTTTCACTTTTACTTATACTAAGTCATGGTGAAATTGTCATTTCCTTCCAACTCAATGTGATCAAACTGTGCTGCTTGAGGAAATTTAGGAAAGCAAATTTAAGGGATCAGTATGTGGGAATAAGTTACCCAAACTCAGTTTTATTGAACATCTTCAGGTGAATACTGGAATTTCATTTTGTTGTATTGACTAAAGTCACCGAAAGTAAAGAGGGTGGTGATCCTGCACTCAAAACGTAGATTGGCAGATTTTTGTGAAATTCATCAGAAAGTAGCGAATTTATTAAATTGGATCTTCAGATTTCTATTTGCTAGTTCATGGATTTCCATAAACCTTTTTTTAACCATTCAATTGATGACATCAGCGCAAGCTGGAACCAGTGTTACCGAAAATGTTGATACCCTAGTGAATTACATTGTGGAATTTCGTTCCAAAATGATAAATTTAGCAATCTAAAGAATTCCCATGAGTGTTTTTTTCCAATATATTTCCTCAAAGTTTCCTTAGGCGTTAAAAAAAATAATGAGCTAAAATCTAGGTTGGGTGACGTTTTGACATGACAAATCGTAAAAAATGGGCCATTAAAAACAAAAATGTCTTGTTACATGACTAATTTGGGAGAAAAAAAACTTGCAGTTTATTAGGTGTCTAATTGTAAAAAGAAATTATTCTAGAAATATCTTAAATTCTTATAGTGTAATCTATAGAAGCTTACTTCTATTATACCGTATTTTGGAGCATGTGGCGTACCTTTAGTAGCAGGAAACTTGTACTTAGGTGACGTTTCTTAATGAGAAATGCGTTTTTGCGCTTCCAAGTAAGAAACTTGCAAGAAACTAGCTCAATCAAGAAAGAAACTTACTCCCGACTGGGATAGAAATTCTTAAAGCATACAAATCTTAAAAAAGCAAACGAAAAACAACTTAAACTTATTATAGTATTTTCTATCTATTTATACTAGACAAACAACTTGTAGTTGACATTATTCTCAAATATTTATTCATTTTTAACACATTTTACAACTACGTAGAAAAAATAATTGTTAAAATATATAATTACATTTAATATATAAAGTATTTACACACTTCCATAGGCATTCCTAACCTTAGAAACTTGTATAAGCTCTCAATTCCCCGCCCCCGCTCCTGCCCTCGTTAAGGGCGTACCCCATTCACATTCTCATTCCATGTACCAAAACAATACACTTTAGGTAACATAGGGTGGAACAATGTTATTAAAGGCGCGCCTAGGCGTGCGCCTAAGCCCAAGTCTCATTCAGACCTAAGGTTTGCGCCTTGTAGTGTTCCAGGCCAGGCGACTTCCATAAGGCACACCTAGGCTTGCGCCTAGGCCCAAGACCCATCCAGGCCCAAGGTTTGTGCCTTGTAGTGTTCTAGGCCAGGCGACTTCGACAAGGCGCCTGACTGGTCCAAGGCACAATAAGGCCCAATGCTTGCATCTTGAGGGCTTTTTTTATTGTTGGTTTAATTGGTTTTGTTTAAAATTTGACCATTGATTTAATATAGTGAAGTTACAGAAGATCTCTACTCTTATTATAGATGCCAATGCATTGGGCATTCAATCCCAAATATATGATAGAAAAAAAAATAGTATTAATTTCTAATCTCCGAAGAACATTAAATATTTAACATTTCATTTTATTTATGTTGAATCCTAAATTATTTACTTATATTATATCTATTTTTTCATACAAGGTGCGCCTCACTTCAGTGAAGCTTGCCCCTCGCCTTGAGCCTAGGCCCCAGGAGACCTTGGCGCCTTAGTGCGCCTATCGCCTTAATAACACTGGGGTGGAACCTTCCATATCTACGCTTCACTCAACCACTCAAACTTAACGAGGAAGTCTATGTAAACTTGACAATAACTTGTTAGACGAGTTCCATGTAGCCAGTGAGTATGAGTACAACCCATGAAACAGGCTTTTGAGTTCCATTGCATTGTAAGAAATCATTCCCCCTTCAAGTGAACTCCATGTGTCTGCTCTGGCTACGAAGCGGTGGAGAGGAGTTCCGAAGCACACTAGTTGCTTGGACTTCATTCATGCACTTGGCAACTCAATTGGTGAAGGCAACATGAGAAACGTTGTCTCCACTGCTCGTGAAACAGAGGAGAGTCGGTCAGTCAGTATAAGGAATGTTTCTTAAGCTCAAGTATGGGCGAAAAGTAACATAGGCTGGAACCTTCCATATCTACACTTCTAAAAGGCATGAGCTTGCAATCTGTTAGGGAATTCAAGTTTCACCAATATATATTACTATTGTGCCATATTATTAGTTTTACTAACTTAGCAAATGAAATATTATATATCAGATTCATACTACTAAATGCTCATAACAATAATAAGAAATAAGTACATATCACAAGTACTTATAGCATAAAAAAATTATAAATACTTTGTAAAACAAATATTTGATTATATTAATGTATACATATTTAATAATAAAAAAATTAATTACATAAATATATAAAATATAAATGTTCTCATGATGCTCTCAACTTTACAAAATTTGAAAATTGGCGCTCTTGTTTCTGCTCTTGCTCTTGCACACGCACAATGAACCGGTGACTTAGGTACTGACAAGTAACATTAGCTAGGTGGATATCATTAAAATGTTGATCAAAATGATTTATTTCTATGTGAGGTTAAGAAATTCATGTTGTGCAACTTATTGGTGGCTGTAAAATTTGAATTAGGTTAGTTTCCTTCTTTTCTCTGAGACCAATATGGATGTATTTTGTCATAAATTTAAATAATTTTTTGGCTAATCTTCTATGCTATGCAATAAATGGCCCAACTCCAATGATTCTCAAATTGGCTATTTACCATGTTGATCTCTCTCTCTCTCTCTCTCTGGGGAGGGGAGGTGTAGATTTAATTTTGTTTAAGTGATCTGAAAAATAATTTTTGATTCCCTTTTAGGAGGATCTTAGTGCAGGGGGGTGCTCATCTCCGCTACTACATAAAATAGGTAACCTGAAAGAATGCACATCAGAGAACTCAGCTTTTCAAGAAGAGGACCAATTCTATGTCAGGGGCAACTGTATAGATCAAACTGGTGATATAGTGCCGCAAGATAAGGGGGAAGATAAAGGTAAATCTGTTAGGGTGGCTAAAGGTTTGAGGGAAATTGATCGAGACATTCAAAATGTTGAAACGAGTGGGTCAGATTCAAGCTCTACAAGAGGAAAGAACTCTGTTGATCACAATGTTGAGTTCCCAAACTTAACTGAGCACATCAAAGAAAGTGGGCTTGGAGGACTTCAAGAGGATGAAAAGGCTGAAGCTGTTCAGTCTGAAGAGAAGCAGCGACGAAAACGAAAGCGAACTATAATGAATGATAAACAGATTAGCCTAATTGAGAGGGCCCTCTTGGATGAACCCGACATGCAACGCAATGCTGCTTCAGTACAGTCGTGGGCTGATAAATTAAGTGTCCATGTATGTAAAGAGTACACTTACCATTATATAGGTTATGCAAAGTTTTTATTTTATTTTTTTATTAACATTAAGATGTATTTTCTTCCTAAGTGGTTCCTTTTTTCTTTTTCAGGGACCTGAGGTTACAACTTCTAAGCTAAAAAATTGGTAACCAAGCCTTTCCTTTCATATTCACCATATGATGTACTGCTCATCTTATTTTTACTGTGTCAGTTTATTTGATTCCAAATTAATTGCAGTCAAGAAATTGGAAACAGAACTTAAAATATATTAACAAGTTGAATGGTAGGCTAGTTATAAGATTTTCTTTTTATTGTCTTCCTATGAATATGAATTTTTGAAAATCAAATGGATCATAGTCAATGCTTGCACTGAAAAATTATTCACCCTTAAATTCTTTAGACACTTTGATTGGGTGGCAATGCATCTCATCACATTCCAAATACCCTTTTATTGACTCCATAATTGAGCCTACCAAGAAAGTGCGAGGGATGAAGTTTAGCTTGTAGTAACAGAGCCTCGAGGAAAGATTAAGTTCTGCTCATTTGGTTTACAAAGAATCTTGAATGAGTCACAAAATGAGCAAATTCCAAATAACTTGCAAGTGGCCTTGTTTGCATCGCAGCAACCATTTTTAGTGTCCTTATTGTTGCAAGCCTCTTCTATCGAAGTTGATCATGAATGTGCAAGATTTCCTACCTAGGTCTGAGATTTTTTTATTTTTATTTTCAAATCAACAATCTTCCTCAACAATCACCATCTTATGTACCATTTAGAGTTAGACTGTTGGAAAGGTATTCCTTGTGAATGCCTTTGTTTGCTTTCTTGAGAACTGTTACTAAGATTGTAGGCGGAATCTAGAACGGGGAAGGGATCTTCCTTGTCCCCTTTTAGGAAAAGGTTTGGCATATTTGTGTATTTTAGGTTTACGCATAACTCATTCTTAGACTTTTGCTTAATGTTCCCGCATTACTTGCTTTTTTTAGCTCGTCAACATATGAAAACAATTAGTTTTTAATTTAGTTGAATGGTAAGTCCAAGTAATTATGTTCATATATTATATGTATATATATTGGTGCAGAACAGTGTTCCTGCATCCTTGTTCTTTTGGTTGGTAAGATTGGAAAACATTTTTTATACTGTAGAACGATGTGCAATGAAGCACACCAAAACAATCCACTTGAAACCTGACAGAATAGCAGCTAACCTATAAACCCCAACTAGATTCTCTCTGTCTGGCGAGATAGGGATACAAAAAAACAAGGATCTTTCACATCCAAAGAGTAGGAAATTTACCAAACCAGGGAGAGCTATGCCTCCATCTATCTTTTTCCTGTCTTTATTTTCATTTTCTTATCTTTTTTAGGAGTTTGTTTGGAGGATTTTTTTTTTTTTTTTTGATACTCTAGATTTCTCTGTAGACCTGTACAAAACAAGGGATAGGTGAACTTATTGATCATGCCTAGCACGGTGGCCTTTGCTGCATTGCTGAAGGTTGAACAGTTTTCTACCATCCTCTCATTCAACCTTCAAGTGTGTGCAAATGCATTATGTACATCTCTGTATTGAATTTGATAAGTAGACATCTGTGTAATGATAATTTGTGCAGCACCGTTGCAATTTCTGGGTTGGGACTATTGGATAGCCAGGAGGCCATCTTTTTTCCCTTCTAGTTTTAAAATTATTTTGAGGATGATTTTAGCTCCTTGTCATTGGTTTCTTAATATTTCACCCTTCTGTCTATCATCATTATCTGTGAAGTAAAGACATCTCTCCGGAGGTCAAGTACCGTTGTCCGACACGTTGGGACACGTTGGGGACACGAGGTGGCCCATATTTTCTTTATTATTTATTTTTACTAGAGTAGCATACCCAAGGTTGATGCATTTGATAGGAATAAATATTTGATATAGAATAAATATATAATATTAAAAAAATGACGTATAATAAATATATAAAATTATATGTTTTGCACGTGCATCCCGCGTGTTGTGTCTTGCATTTTTTTGAAAATTTGCACGTGGATGTTGTGTTGTGTCACATGGCCTTATCCATGTTTCTTAGGTCATCATCAAATCACATTCAATATTCAGTTGGGAGATGCTTAATCCCTTGCGTTGATTAATGTAATATTGAAATAATGGATTTGTTTTGTCACAAGCATACTATTTTGTTGACATGCACCTCATGTGAATCAAACAGCATGAGGTGCCCATTTATTGTAATTATTTTGAACTATAAGTTTGAGCTTTTTGTTATTAATTTTCTTGTTATATTTTTTTCAAAATTTTCAACATTGGCAAATTCGAAAAATGTCATACTTCATATTTTTTTTTTTTTTTTTTAATTTTTCTCGTTAATCTTCTCTTATGATTTGACGCATTCTTTTCTGATGGAAACCTCCTCTCTCCCTCTCTCTCTCTCTCTCACACACACACACAAAACAGGCTAAACAATAGAAAAGCTAGGCTAGCCCGAGCAGCTAAGGATGTACGTGTGCCATCTGAAGGGGGGGACAATGTATTTTCTGACAAACAAGGTGGGTCAGGAATTGCATCCCACTATGACTCAGCTGAAAGTCCTTCTGAGGACGTTTATATCCCAGAGGCTGCAAGAGGGATTCACCAGAGTGGAATTGGAGAAAGCACATTGAGAACTGGTACCAACGAAAAAGCAGAGACTGTGCACGCAGAATTTATTGGTATTGCATCAGCAGGATTTGTTCAGTGTGAGCCTGGTCAGTATGTTGTGCTTGTAGATCAGCAAGAAGAAGAAATTGGCAAGGGAAAGGTGCATCAGGCGCAAGGCAATTGGCATGGATGTAATTTGGAGGAATTAGAGATGTGTGTTGTGGATGTTATGGAGCTTAAGGTTGATAGATGGATGAGTCTTCCACACCCATGTGAAGCCACGGGTAATTCATTCGATGAAGCTGAAAAGAAACTTGGGTTAATGAGAGTGTTGTGGGATTCAAACAAACTTTTCATGCTGCCGCCTCGGTGAATGTGAGTGCCTCTCCTGCTTGAAGGGCCAGGTAAGAACTTTTTGTAATCTGCAAGCAGTGAATTTTCTACATTTTGACGTTGAATAGATTATTATTATTAAGGTTAATTACACCATGACCCGCGCAACTATTAGCCAATATCACCTTACTCCTCTCATCTATGAACCCGTACATATTAACCCCTTCAACTATAAAAACGGTACAAATGGCCCTTCTACTGAAGGTGGTTTGGAAGGGGTGAAAGTGATACATGTTTATAGTTGAAGGGATCAAAAGGTATAGGTTTATAGATGAGGGGGTAAGTTGATATTAGCTAATAGTTGAGGGGGTCTTGTTATAATAAACCCTTGTTATTATTTGGGAGGTTGGAAGCCAAGTGTTCTACGAGGCAAGCTTTCACATGTGCATACATAATCTGGAAAGGAGGCTGCACTGCATCTCAAGTACCTATATGCGTATAAAGGGGTCACATAAATCACACATTAAATTTTCTGCAACTCACAAGCCAATAACTCACAATTCGATCAACACATACCGTGTGCTTATCTTTTCATTTTTCATAGTTAAAATCATGCCACATAACACCTCTAGTTTAGACTAATCACTTACATTACAATCATTGTTTCATATAAGAGGATTCCTATTTAGAAATCTAGTAGTATTACATATGTCTTAATATACCTTCTAACATCTTCATAATTTTTGTAGATTTATTATGGTTTTAAACAACAATTCAATCAAACACAAACTTTCACGTTCATATAGTCACATAAGACTTTACATTGTATCACATTCCATGGATATAGTATTAGAGAGACATAAATATCTTCATATACAAAGATTTTTGTCACATAATATTATCACGCTAACATTTGATAAGTACGTAGATTCCACAAAATAGAACCCATAGCACGGAAGGGGTACAACTTATCACACAACACAATATGATGTCCTAATACATGACATTTCTTTCTAAATGACTCTATGTCTCTTAGTGTCAAACCTGTTCCTCTGATAAGGGTTCCTAAACCTGTTGCTCTGATAGGTTTATTGTGTTATTGGGATTGTAATGCTTCCGCTAAATAAATGAGAAAATTAAATAAATTCCATATATTTCCAGATTTCCCCTCCCAAACACACATTAATGTGTACTTCTTGGGCGTTGTTTTTTTTTTTTATATTTCCAGATTTCCAAATGCACCTCTCACTGGGTATAGGTAGGTCTTGGTAGCCTGTGGCTATCAGCCAGTCATGCCTTAAATCTGCCTATAGTGGGGTTTGGGTCATGAAAGAATGGTATCAGAGCATATGAGAATCATGTGCTAAACATTGTGATAATGTCCATCTAAATGGAGCTATACTGAGGGATTAATCGAGCCAACTCCCGGTTAAATAAACCGACATTTGTAGCTAAGGGAGCTCTCAATTATCGATATATGGGATTTAAGAGGTGTCTTGTATAGATTTTAGATGTGGTTGCCACTGTGTTTTTCGCAATGTAGTGTAACAGTTAGTTCCATACTACATTTTGTTCCCAAAACATTCATGTCTACTAGCAAAAATTACCTTAGTAGCTGAGACTAACCACAGATGGCACCTATATAGATTGAGGCATATTCAAGCATGGGACATCTATGAATTATGAAATATTTCGTCATCATAAGTTTAAGTTCCAAAAATGTTGTACCGAAAATAAACTGACACATGTCACCACTCGCCTTAACCCCACAAAAGTATGTTAGTTCCATAAGATAATTAGCCTACATAAGCATAAAAGACACTGCGTAACAAAATTAAGGCAATGCTCTTTGTTAGAAAACCCTAACCCCAATACTAGGAGGAGGGAGCATGTTTGATCTAATATATATATATATATATTCGTTTGTTCCAACTTTTGCTATTTTGTTATGTTGATCTTCCTCTCTTTTTAGGGTTCTTTTGTAATCGCTGTTTAAAACTGAATTAATGTCATGTGAACCAACAATGGATCTGCTGCCCACCGCATCACTTATTTTTTGTTTTTCCATTGCATTAATCAGTTGATAATTGCTCTCTAATTGCTGCTAGACTGAAACTACAGCCACAGGGGTGACATCCAATGGTTGAGATTTGGGGGGGAAAAAATTCAAGAGCAGGCCACTTCAAAAGACATCCACCAAGGAGGCGACCACACTCACAATCTAACTAATAACGGGGATGCCTACTACCATGCTTGAAATTTCAATCCAGGAACCCCCCTGACTGCGAATTTCTTGGAATGGCATCGAGTGGGCTCTGTTAATTGTGGTTGGGGATCATGTATAGCAGAAAGATTAAATGGTAGCTCACCTAGAGAGAGGCTTTCAGGCTCCTCAGCCATTGAATCTAAACATTTTTGTATATATATATGTTCTTCTTTAACTATTATGGATTTTTTTTTTTTAAATGATAAATTATTTTTCAGTAAAACTTGAGCTATTTGTTGTTTGGTGAAGCGTCCAGATTTCCTAGTGCCAGGTGATAATGAGGGGCTAAAAGATTATCAAAACATCCAAGTTGATTATTTTCCAATGCTTGTATATGCTTATGAGAAATGTTATACATCATTGGTTTTTTCATCACTGTTTAGTAGTACTAGCTACATTTATAGTGGTCAAATAGTTCTCTATGTTCATGTTTGTTTGAATGGACATGACCGATTGGATTAACAATTCAAAAAAATTCACAATGTGATGTTTGGTTATAAAAATTAAGGTGTGGACTAATAGTCTATTGAGACATAATATCCTCCAAAATGGGGTACTATTGAATCCGAACAGAGTCGTGTGATACAAAATAGACGACTAAGGTTTTGGATTAATTAGTTAAATTATAAAATTAATAAGATTTTGTTAATCTCGTCATTATCTTGAGCTAATACAATCTAAAAGCATTAATAATTTTAGGACTAAATAGTTCTAGAAATGATGTTAATTCTATCTAATCTGGATTTGAGCAATTGAAGCAGTTGAAAAGTTGTTGACTAGGTAAACATTTTAGAAGTGAGATCTAAAAAAAGAAACCTCAGCCTCTGAGCTGGTTCAAAATTCATAAAAATAATATACATTTACAATATTATAAAATTAATAAGATTATGTTAATCTTGTCATTATCTCGAGCTAAGATAATCTAAACACGTGATAGGATATACAATCTAAAAGCATTAATAATTTTAGGAAATAGTTCTAGAAATGTTGTTAATTCTATCTAACCCAGATTTGAGCAATTGAAGCAGTTGAAAAGTAAGAAGTGAGATCTAAGAAAGAAACCTCAGCCTCTGAGCTGGGTCAAAATTCAAAAAAATAATATACATTTACAATACAATACAATACACTATACAAAACCTTAGGGAGCAACTTCCCCCAACTAAAAGTTGTGCGAGTCAAAAGTACAGCTTCCACCAGCTCAATTGTACAAATACAACAAAAGCAAATTGGGGAAGAGTGGTCACTACGCATCTGCTAACAGCTAGCTTTTCTACCATTCCCGAGCCATGTAGTATAGACTAGCCTCCTCTAATGGAACTTGGTATCTACATCATGAAAATACAACATGGGGTACTGTATATTGTGAACATGTATTGATGTAGAACTGGGCAGTGATCATTCTTGATGTAGAACTGGATTGTGATCATGCCCCCTATAAAAAGTGCGGTTAAGACATTGTAAACACTGTAAACAACAATTATGTCGCAAGGAATCAGATATATGCAAGTGAGTTCCGGTCAAGTTCAGGTTGTGGGCGACCTCTGGTAGGGGTTGGTGGCCTTTGAATGTTAAGCTCCTGCAGAGACCAATAACCAACAGAAAATACTCTATAAGTCAGCTAAACAGATATATTTTGTTATCAGTTGGGTATGGGATTCAACAAGAATCTCACCTGCATCCATGCATCATGTACGACACGTTCTGGAGATGTCTCTGGGGACTGAAAGGGAGGTGGCAGCGGATGAATCAATTTCGGAACGATGACCAATCCTCTGCCAACAACCAGTAGTGCTCCAGCGTTGTTGGCCGTCCCTGAATGCATTTGCACAATTAAGCTGTGAAGGGTTGGCAATAGTGAAGGAAAAACACAACTTACGAATGCTTACCACAATAGTTGGTTGCAGAAAAGAGTGTGATCAATTGGCCCTGAGCAAACCGTTCAAACCCATCCATAACGCATTCATGGGCTCTTATAATTAATTGCAATTTATTTTTCTTACAGAAATCTGTGACGCGATCAGGCTGCAAGCATTGACAATTTGTTATGATCTAATAGCAGGCCTACAAGTGCAAATAGAAGCTGAACTTCAACTCAGAAAAATCATTAACTAGTATCAAAATGAAAATGCTTGTGCGCCAATTGTTTTACCTGTAGAACTATATATCACAACTGCCAAAAACTTCCAAACAGTACCAAGGTCTTAAACAAATATCCAGTTTAAACTGCAAAGATTGATATATATACTTTTAAGCTATCGGGTTTGCTTCACAAGTCGCAACTACAATGTCTAGTTTAGTTGAGAAGTTTGAATATGAAAAGATGTGCTTTAGCTTGAGTAGGAAAGAAATCTCTGTTTCTAGTTTTCTTAATCCCTCTGTTTCTGCTGGTCAGCTTCCAACTGTATATGTCGCTGGCATCTAGTGTATCTACTTATTACCATATGAAAATATTTAGTAAATTGTATTGGACATACAACATAATGTAGCTGCAATTCTAAAGGTAACAATATACACCAATGCTTCAGAGAATTGAAAGTGAAAAGTTGTGTGATGAAGAGATTTGAATAAATGCATATACCAAACATTTCTGTCATTAGTGACCGAGTATGAATTTGTCAACAGTCTCATCCTACGGGTCAGTGAGTTCAGGATTCCAAGAATAGAGTAACCCAGAAGAATATATGAAATGCAAAATTCAACAAGCAAGGAAAAAAAATCAGATTCATTCCATATATGTGAACTAGCATTTGTACCCCAAAAGTGACGAGACCAGGCCCTCTAGCATTTGGTCTTAAACCCTCCACACTATCATTTTCTGTGGGATCAGACCTGTACAAAACATGAAATAATGTTGGCATGAAATTTTTAGATGATGTTGGATGGAAACTAAAAACTACAAATGAACTAAAACATACCATAGAAGATCCATTAAAATTATAGATCCACCATCCATAGTTATGGGTCTTTCAAGTTTCTCTATCTGTTCTACTGAATGTATTGACCTCCCTATTCCACCATGCATACATATAATTTTTTTCTCAATGAGTGCAGCAAGCGGAAGAAAGTTAAAAAGTTGATTGAATCGTGTCCATGCCCAGATTCCATCACTTTCTCCCTGCATATATACATTCATAGTCAGTACCTCAAAACCTTTCAAGGAAAAAAGTGTCTGCATGTTCCATACCATTCTTTCAATGCATTCGAGACGAAAACCAAAAAGTGCATTTATGTCAGCAGCCTCATGATTCCCGCGTATCAAAAAAACATTATCAGGATACTGAATCTGAAAATCATGGCATGGGACAAAATTGTCAGTAAGACACTGTAAAATAAAACCGAAGTACTTAAGTGATCAAGGCAGAAACACACCTTTAGTGCAAGGAGCAAGGTGATGGTCTCCAAGCTGTGCTGTCCTCGATCGACATAATCACCAAGAAACAAATAGTCAATGTACCTGAAGCATAGAGACAAAAATGGCTGTCACACAATTCCAGAAAATGGTTTGTCAAGCTTGTCATTTGGATTTTTAATCTATAATGAGAATGGAGAAGCATTCCACAAAATGGGACCCCCCTTTTCCTGATTAATCACAAGAGTTCCACATTGGAAAAGAAAAAAAAAACATCATCGATTGATGCATAAGGAGACTTTTACACAGCTAACAACATTAAGAGATGTATAATACAACTGCAACCCAACTTTCGAGGCCAGATAACCCTTCTCTAAAATGTCCACCGTGCCAAGCATCATTGCTTCTTATTAAAAGGTTTTTCACTTCCAAGTCCTAGTAAAAATCAAGAGGTGAATCATCTTGCAGTGCACAGATTAACTTGAATAGGCATTGGTGAAAAGCATAGGGAGATGGTCCTAATTACACACCACCTATTGATTAATTTAAGACTCTCATTCTAAGGCAAATTTGCCTGTTTGTCGAGCATTTGTTCCCTGCCCACTGAAGCATATAGACAAAGCATAGGGGGATGGTCCTAATTACACCCCACATATTGATTAAGACAGTCATTCCAAGGCAAATTTGCCTGTTTATTTGTTCCCTGCCCACTGATAGTTCCATCTTCCCTATGCATATGCGCATCAAACATGCACATAATCATTACCCCTAATACAAGTAGCATACTCCACTTTTTCCATAGCTAGTTAAAGTACTAGGCCAGAAAAATGGACTTCCTTTCTGACACTAATATTAAATTAAGTAGATTAATCTCATTTCTAAAATCTTCATCAAAGGATATTTGCATCTACTCCATCTGTTACTTGTTGTAAAAGATAGTTCCTAGAACCACCAGCTTGGCTCGAGTCCAGAATGTAAATATGATTCCAGAGCAGCACCTTGGAAACCATATTTCAGTAGAAACTTGTGCATGCCTTCCTCAGGTTTCCAACCCTACCAAATACCTACCCTCAAATTGTTCATTCAGAATACATTTGTGGGAGCATAAGCAAATCATCTCAATCAAGTTTCCCATAGTTTGCACATGCAGTACATTCTCTTAACACATTTTAAAATGCATTCATTTCAAGTCTAAACTTCCAATACCATTCAGCCATAATTCATAACACATTCACACCAGCTCTACATATCCTCACTTGACCCAAATTCTATAAGCAAATCCTCAATCTCACTCCTCCCTTGTTATACATCAAGATCCTATTGCACTTCCATAGTAGAAGCACAACACTTCCATGGAGGAGGCATGCCGTGTTGGACACAGACACCTTGTGAACACTCCTAAAATTGTGTCCTACACTTCTTCAGGTTGTCTTAATTAATATTTTTAATTCATAATATCAGACATTTTACAGCCACTTCTCAAACATTTCGGTGACGCTTCTTGAACTCTTCGAACACAACCTATGCGAGAATCTCTTCAAAGTAACAACGTTTTGCTTTCTTTAGAATGCAACTTGCGCACTCTAAATACATTTTGAAACATTTATAAGATGAATATATCATGTGTATTTCAATGTTCTACAATTATTTTGCATTCTTTAGAATGTTATTGTTACGTAAATGGTATTTTGATGTTTAAGTTATGAAATATATTTTTTAAATTTTAATTAGTGTTATCTTGTTTTTTTCATTACATTTGAATAAACTATTCATATATTTGACATATAATAAATTTATGACTATATAAATTTTTAACTGGCCCTGGACCATGTGTTGTGTCTTGCATTTTTTTAGAATTGTTGTGTCAACATGTCAGTATCTGTGCTACTTAGACCATACCTTAATTAAGGTCTTAGAGAAGCCACAGCTGCCACACATAGTGCAGTATCAAAATCCATCTATTTCAAGGCACTCTGTAATTCAAGTTATACATCTAATCAGTGTCACCCAACTAAACCATTTGATTTGAAAATATAAATCCCAAAAAACAGTTTTAAATTTGGGCAGACAATCAAATTGCATCTATAGCAAAAAACACTTACACAAACCTAAGATTATGCAGGATTATTGATAGATAAAAATATTTTAGGCCTACAGTAACTGATGAACCTATGTACCAAAAGCACAACAGATCCCATCAATCCCAAAATTGCAGTTTGAAAAACAGATTGCTATCAAACTTACGTTATGTCTCCTGCAGGGGAAGGAAATCCATATTCATCAAATAAACGCATTAAATCGCCAAACTGTCCATGAAGATCACCAAATACTTTTATAGGAGCTTTCAGTTGCAGAACTGTGGGCTCCTGCATAAAGATTTGTTCAACAGCATAGCAAAGCTCACCCACTTCATAAGAATCCAGAAAAAATCTCCTATTAGGAGGAGCTTTCCAGTTCCGAGGCATAAGCAAAGTAGAAATAATCTGCAAGAAAACAAAAGATAATGAAGAATTCACAAAACAATTCATTTTTCTCTTAGAAAACTGTGAGAATATTATGTTAATTATGGAAATATATTAGACTGATATATATTTTAGATTGATTGTATAGGGTTATTCATATTTCCTATTTTAGATTAGGTCTAGGATTACTATATATATCGGTTGTACTCTTTGTATCATTGACAACTGAATATACAGATTATTCAGAATTCTTACATGGTATCAGAGCTTTGCGATTCCTGACTTCGTGGTAGCTAGGGTTACACATGAACTGGTCTAACTTCCTCGTGATTCATCTAATTGATCGAGCTCTCTCTTCTCGACTTATCTGATACACGATCGAACTACTTTGGTTTGATCTTTGGTTCTGGTTCACGCTCGCGAGGCCCACTATGGTTCTAGTTCGTGACATCTCTTCTCTCTGGTTTTGACTCACGACTCTGGTTCGACTCCAGTCTGTGTCTGATTGTGAGGGTTCTCGTTGACTTGTGAAGTTGGGTCATCACCATCACTATCTCGCACGACTGGTTTTCATTACTCATCTAGTTCGTGATTCATCTGTCGCGTGGTTGGTCAAAGCTTGTCGCCTCTCTCTCTGTCTCTCTCTGACGCAAAGGTTTTCTTCAACTTCAGGCTCTCTTTCCGAATTGGTTTTCTCGGCTTATCTCGTTTCATTGATATTTGTGGGTCTTAGGGGATTTGATAATTATATTAACCCCGATTGGTTATTATACATCCAGACCCAGTACTTGGTTATTACACTATAGTTTTGGATTTAGGGTTTATTCCACTTAAACCCCTTTATCTCTCTGATTATTATGATATCTCTAGTTATTGATGAGTGTGCCTTCTGCCATCAGCAAGGCTATTGGAAGTATCATTGTCCCAAGAAGGGACGCTTATCTGTCTTGTCCTTTCAACAATCTCAGACTCTGTTCCATGCTCCTTCTCAGAGTACTTTTTAGACTCTAGCCACTTATATTGCATCTACTCCGGCCCCTGATCCTGACTTGGCTTTCTTGAGTGCTCAAATTAGTCAACTTCAGCATATACTATCTACCTCTCAATCATCCCCACCTGCCTCCATTATTTCCTCTCTTCATTCAGATTTGTTTGAGTCTTCTTCACCACTTATATTGCATCTACTCCGGCCCCTGATCCTGACTTGGCTTTCTTGAGTGCTCAAATTAGTCAACTTCAGCATATATTATCTACCTCTCAATCATCCCCACCTACCTCCATTGTTTCCTCTCTTCATTCAGATTTGTTTGAGTCTTCTTCATGTATCTCTTCGTCTGTTTGGATTTTTGACTTTAGTGCCTCTCATCTTATGACTCTCTATCTCTCTGTACTTTAAAATTGTACTCTCCCTCCCTTTCCTATTACTGTTAATGCTGCTAATGAATCTGGTATGTCTGTTATATCTGTTGAGTCTGTCTTACTGTCTGTTGTTTCTGTTCCATCTGTCCTTTATGTCCCTCAATTATCTGTCAGTTTATTATCTATCAGTCAGCTTAATGCCTTCAATTTTGATGTTATCCTTTCTTCTTCTATCTGTTATGTACAGGATCGGATGTCCAAGCAGCTGATTGGGACTGGTTATAGAGTTAGAGACCTCTATGTGGTGGAAAGCCTACATCTACCTATAACTACCTCTCCAACTACTTTTCCTCTTTTTAGTTAGATTTTTTGTCAAGTCCTTTCTATTTGTGGCATTCTAGATTAAGGCATTTGTCTGGTGACCGCTTATAGTCTTCAGCTCAATTAGGTATATTGGGTCAAATTTCCCCTAGTCAACTTACTGAGTGTCGAGGGTGTAAACTTGCCAAAATGACAGTCTTACCTTTCTGTAAAAGTACCTCTATATTCGATACACCATTTTCTTTAGTTCATACTGATGTCTAGGGTCCTTCTCCTGTTCTCACTAAAGGGGGTTCTGCATACTGTATTTCATTGTTGATGACTGCACCGGTTACACTTTGGTTTATTTTATGACTCATAAGTCTAACTTTTACCAAATATACCGTACTTTTCAGTCTAGAGTCACTACACAGTTTAGGTCTACTATTAAATTATTATGGTCTGACTTGGGCGGAGTATACTTTAAAATTGAGTTTTGTGGATATTTAGCCAATTTAGGTACCATTCACCAAACTTCTTGTACTAATACATCTGCCCAAAATGGTCTACCTGAGCGTAAACACCGTCATCTCCTTGAGATAGCTAGGTCTCTCGTTCTCTCTACCTCCATTCCGGCTCCATTTTGGGGTGAGACAGTTCTTACTAATGCTTTTCTTCTTAACCATATGCCTACCCCCTTTCTTTCTGGTCGGTCTCCTTATGAGGCTCTGTTTTCTTAACTTCCTAATTACTCTCTCCTTCGTGTGTTTGGATCTGCTTGTTTTGTCTTTTTAACCCGTAAAGATAGGACCAAACTTAGCATCCGGTCTACCCTATGCAAGGTTTTAAAAAGCGGCCGCAACCGTTACGTAACACCGTTACGTAACGGTTGTGGTGGTTACCGCCACCCGTTACGGCCGCTATAACGGTGTGATGGAAATTCACATGTGTAACGGCCGTTTCGGTGTTACGTAACGGCCGTAGCGGTACCGTAACAGCCGTAACGATCCGTTACACACCGTTACACCCTTTTATAATATTCTGAATGACTTTCTTTTCCAAAAATATAAATAAATGAAAGCTCACAAAAAAAGAACAAATACTCAAGTGATCCAAATCCAAAGAAAAAAAATCTTATGTGAATTTATTTCAAGGTTTCAAAATGCTACGTTTCGTAACGGTTGTAGTGTGATTGAGATTCACAAGTGTGGCGACTGTAACAACCCATTATGCACTGTTATGTAATGGTTCCAAATAGCTTCTTTCGAGAGAAAAAAATACTGGAAAGGTGAGAAGAGTGATAGAGAGAGAAGAGGGAAGATGAAGAGACAAAATGGAGAAGTAAGAGATAGAGAGAGAGAGAGAAGAGAGAAGATGAAGAATCTGTTATTGATTTGTTGAAGATGATGTTGCCAATTCATCTTGTGCTTTTCTTCTTAACCATATGCCTACCCCCTTTCTTTCTGGTCGGTCTCCTTATGAGGCTCTGTTTTCTTAACTTCCTAATTACTCTCTCCTTCGTGTGTTTGGATCTGCTTGTTTTGTCTTTTTAACCCGTAAAGATAGGACCAAACTTAGCATCCGGTCTACCCTATGTGTCTTTTTGGGTTATAGTCTCACTCATAAAGGTTATCGCTGTTATGACTCTGTTTCCCGTCGCCTTTATGTCTCCTACCATGTTGCCTTTCTCGAACGTCTACCTTACTTTCAGCTTCCTCCTCTCACAGCCCAAATTTCCAAAGAAGATTTGGTTCATATTGATCCATTTCCTTTTGAGGTCCCTCCTAATGAGTACATCTTTGTTGTTCCTCATGAGCTTATTCTCTCTTCTCTTTATACCACCCCTCCTACCGAGTCCCTCTCCACTGACCCCCATGAGTCTATTCCCTCTTCTCCTTCTCCTTCTCCTTCTCCTTCTCCTCCTCCTCCTCCTCTGATGTTAGTCTATTCTCATCGCAAGGCTCTCCTTCCACCAGTTGTCTCTGTCCCTGCTACTGATCCTCCTGCTTTTGACGACTCTGATCTTGGTAACCGTAAGTATCCCATTCACATCCGTAAACAGGTAGTCAAACTTGGTTTTGCTAAAACATTTTTTTTTTTTATACTGTACATTTTTGTCTACTATTCACTCTTTTTCAAAGTTTCAGTCTTACAAGGAGGCCTATCAGGATCCTTATTGAATTCAAGCTATAGAGGATGAGTTGTCTGCTTTGTACAAAACTAGTACTTGGGAGTTGGTTCCTTTGTCTGCTAGTAAGAATCTGGTTGGTTGCAAATGGGTTTACAAAGTCAAGACTCATTCTGATGGTTCTCTTAAGTGCTACAAGGCTCACCTGGTTGCCAAGGATTTTTCACAAGAGTATGGTATTGATTATGAGGAGACCTTTGTCCCTGTTGCCAAAATGACTACTGTCCATACTTTGATATTTGTTGTTGCCTATGAAGCATGGATACTTCAAATAGAGAGACGTATCCGTATCGTATCCGTATCGGATACCGACACTCCTTGGATACTTACAGATACGTAGTAGATACTTATTAAAAGTATCGGATACTTCTTAATTAATTTTGAAGTATCTGATACTTAGTTTTGACGTATCGGATGCTCCAAGTCACCTATTATTGGATACTTCTCAATTAATTTTGAAGTATCAAATGCTCCAAGTCACGTATTACTTCTTTTACGAAATTAGAATCGTATCATTGTTTGCATAACATCATAACATAATATAATTGCAAGGATAAATATAATATTTTTACAATACTTTGCTTAGTTTTTATAAAAACAACATAGTAAGCTAAAGTAATAAAATTCATCAAATTGACATATCTTCATTGTATCATGCATGTCCCCTATAACTACATAGAAATAAGGATTAATAAGATAATATAACAATAGTAAAATTAAATAACAATAGTAAAATTAAATATCAATAAATAAATAAGCAAATAAACTTGCATAGAATATTTTTGACTAGTGCAAAAGGAAAAAGCATAAGGTCAAGTTGTGGATTGTTTTGATATTAATATTAAAATGAAATATTTGCAAGACCTATTGAAAATTTAAAAACTAAACTAGCTACTGGCTTAAATTAATATCTAATTTTTAAATATTAGTATTTTGCATTATAAAGTTACTATGGTTTCTCAACATTCTTGAGCTTATTTATTTTTATTTTTTACAAACGTATCCTAGCTGTACCCGTATCCTACTTTTTTAGGTTTTGTTGTATCGTTGTATCCGTATCGTATCGTATCCATACCTCGTATCCGTATTTGTATCCGTGCTTTCTAGGTTGTTGTTATTCGTCATTGACCTCTTTATCAGATGGATGTTAAAAATATTTTTCTTAATGGTCATCTCACTGAGGAGGTTTACATGCATCCTCCCTCTGGCCTTCACCATTTCTGTAGACAAGTTTGTCGTCTTCAACGTGCTCTGTATAGTCTGAAGCAATCTACTCGTGCTTGGTATGATCACTTTCAGATTGTTGTTACTAAACTTGGGTTACATCCTTCTGCCCAGGACTCAGCTTTGTTTCTCCTCCACACCTCTGCCTGTTTTATTACCTTATTATTATATGTGGATGATATAATTATTACTGGCTTTGAATTCTTCTGCTATCTCTAAGGTCAAGAAGCATCACTTCCGCACATTCAAAATGAAGGAGCGGTACTTTCTTGGTATTGAAGTGGCTTCTTCTCCCAATGGCTACTTTCTGTCTCAGGCCAAGTATGCTAATGAAGTTATTCACCGTGCTGGCCTTACTGACACTAAGATTGATGATACCCCCCATTGAGCTTAATGTGAAACTTAACACTACTAATGGTGTTCCTCTACCTAATCCTACTTTATATCGAGAGCTTCTGGGTTGCTTAGTCTATCTAACGGTTACTCTAATCTTGCCTATGTTGTTCATGTGGTTAGTCAATTCATTTCTACTCCTCGTTCTACATATTGGGCTACTTTGGTTCGGATTCTTTGCTATCTCTGGGGTACTATAGTTCAGGATTTACTGTTGTCCTCTACTTCCTCTTTGGACTTGGTAGCTTATGCTGATTCTGATTGGGTTGGTGATGTCACTGATCGCAAGTTCACTTCTAGCTTCTGCATGTTTCTTGGTGATTCATTGATTTCTTAGAAGAGTAAGAAATAGACTGTTGTTGCGTATTCCACGACCGAGGCTAAGTACCGTGCTATGGCTCATGTCACTGCTGAGATTGTTTGGCTTCGTTATCTCTTGACTGATTTGGATGTCCCTCAGTCTTCTCCAACCTCCCTTTATTGTGACAACGACAGTGCTATTTAGATTGCCTGTAACACTGTCTTCCATGAGCGGACGAAGCACATTAAAATTAATTGTCATTTTGCTCGTTAACATCTGTAGCCTAGCTCCATCTCGCTTCCTTTCGTCTCTTCGGCATTACAACTTGCTGATTTCTTTACCAAGACTCACACTACTGCTTGATTTTAGTTTCTTCTTGGCAAACTCTTAGCGTTTTCTGCTAAAACACCTTGAGTTTGAGCGGGAGTGTGAGAATATTATGTTAATTATGGAAATATATTAGACTGATTGTATATTTTAGATTGATTGTACAGGGTTATTCGTATTTCCTATTTTAGATTAGGTCTATGATTACTATATATATCGGTTGTACTCTTTGTATCGTTGACAATTGAATATACAGATAATTCAGAATTCTTACAAAAACAACCACACAAGCAGAAAATTAAAATAAATAAATAAATAGAACACTTGAAGTCTGACAATACTTGCCTTCTTATGCAAGCCTTGAGGAGACCTCTGCCGGGTAATTTTTTTGGTAGGATATGACTGGTCATTATTCCAGGGAACCATTCGTCTGCTCTCATTTTCAAATTGATCCAAGGATAGCTGCCTTACCATCAAGCCCAGGTTTCCCGCAGCCTCTTTAGCAATTACAACCTGTGGCATCAGAGACGGCAGGTTTGTTGAGCTTGAAAATGAATGAATCCTTTATATATGATGGGACAGCAGAGTACATACCGCTCTGGGGTGAAGGCGAACATCTGGGTCAGTGTCACTACTCTCCGAAGCAGTCTCTGCAACTTGTGAGTTGTCATCTGACATAGATGTTTCTTCAGGAGTGGCAGATGTTGCCTGCATGGCTTGCCAGACGGCACTAGCAGCCTCGGCCTCGGCAGCAGAAGCCTCAACCAGTTTCTCCATAGAGTTCTTGCGCATGCTGCTAAGGATGGAAAATGTGTCACAAAATTTTTGATGAAAGACAAATCAAAGTTTCAAAAAGAAAGGAAGTGCGATATGGAAATAAAAACCTCATGCCACCAGATGAGGTAATTTCTGGTCGTGTATCTGAAAGTGATGTTGGGTCGAATGAACTTAAATTAGAATGGTTTGTTCTGGGCCGTGTCATGGTTGGGGCCCTCTCAGATGACAGAATAGGAGAATTAATGTCAGACTGAATAGGTGAATTTTCTGCAACCAGGAATTCATCTAGCAGTATATCTGCACAAGCAACCATGAACTTTACTACATGACAAGAGAAGGGCAAGCAGCGATGAAAAGGAACATAAAATTTGCAAAACAAGCTTAGCAATTGCTCAGTACACGGTCTAGAACTCCATATGCATTGTAGCGTGGGTGGGTCCATCTTCTAACATCTTAAGCTTGTAAAGCAACTAGTTGTCTGACATACTCTTATAGCTTTGGTTTTGAGGGGTTTTTATGTTCAAATTTCTGTGTATTTATACTCATTATTTTTATATATGTACACACTCCGTTTAGTTGGACTCCTTCCCTATCAGTTTAAACTTCTTGGGCCATTGGTTGTTTAACTAAAAAGAGAAGAAGAAGAAGAAAGAGAAGTAGAACCATCACCACTCAAATTATGATCTTAAAGGGTATGTATACATCCAGACATACTATCTTTTGTTTTGACAAATGTACTCCGGATACTGTTGTGAGAGTGAACAAACTAGTATTGATTCCAGATACAGGTTCCTTTTTCATTAAATTTTTTTTTTTTTGAAAAATTCTAAAAATTTGCTTTAACCAGTTTTCGTGACACAGGGATAAATGAAGTGCTATTAACAAGGCACCAACGGAGTGCCACCTGTGTTCAACTATTGGACACAAAACAAAAATGAGACAAAATATACAGGAGTACTAGCATACATGAACCAAGTAATTTGGTTTCACAATCTGACTGCTTTGTTATGCTTGATTAATGTGTACAAAAGTTGAGGTTATGGACGGTAATGCATGTAATGTTGCTTCTCTTGGTACTGCTAGTAACATGGAGGATAATGTGGCGACTCCATGTAATGCCACTCAATGTAACATTGGGAGCAAAACCTTTTAGGGTTGGTGCTGTTGAAATGGTTGTTGAATCAACTCCTTCAAAAGATGGAATTAAGGGGAATACGGATAGTCTACTATCATCACAAAATGAAAATCAAAATTAGTTTGAAATAAAATCCAGAGACTTAAGTTTGCTAGGGAGAAGCAAATCTTTTGATTTGTTGTTTCTAAGCCTTTTGAGTTGTTTTTTGCCTCCCCCCCCCCGGCAGCAAAGGATGGTTTTGTGTTCCCTTGTAAGCAAAGGGTTTTGGCTTGTATTAGCCCTGTCTTATTGTATCCTTTGGGGTTGTGGTCGCTTCATTGTGTAACAATTCTTTTTGGTAAAAAATTGCTTACTAACCAAAAAAATAACTACATAGGAACTCGTATCTCAAAAGTCACTATTAAGTTTAAAATTTGATAACATTCCCCCACACCGCAAAGGATGGTTTTGTGTTCCCTTGTAAGCAAGGGGTTTTGGCTTGTATTAGCCCTGTCTTAGTGTATCCTTTGGGGTTGTGGCCGCTTCATTGTGTAACAATTCTTTTTGGTAAAAGCTTACTAACCAAAAAAATAGCTACATAGGAACTCGTATCTCAAAAGTCACTATTAAGTTTAAAATTTGATAACATTCCCCCACATTCAACTAATGAAAATGAACAGAAATCTACTTTTTCAAGACAAAGAGGCTGTTCCACCCCTCAAAAGTCCTTCGGTTGCGTTCACACCAAATGATCCACATCAAGCATAACAGAGCCAAGCCTTCTTTCTTCTCTTTTGCACCCTCTCCAACTTCCAACTGAACAAAAGATTCACTGCACTCCTACAGAAGAAACCCACTGTACCGTAAACATGCTAAGGATCATCCCCTGAAGCTCCCTAGCCACGGTCCAACCTACTCACCATTGCTTTTGCACATGCAACACTAATTCACGACTTTCCATTGTCCAACCAATTACCAACAATAAGCATTTTCCCATATGTTGCTACCCATGTGCAGGAAAAAAAATATATCTTACCAAATTAAAATAGATAACTTCCAACAGTCGTATAATAAATTGCTATGTTGCATTAATGGAAGAGGGTGTTACCAAGAAGCACGGACAAATTCCCCAAGGGGCAGGTGTGTGTCCGACATGTGCCTAACACAGATGTGTCAAACAAGCGCCAACATAAGTCGGACACGCGATCATCCACGTCCTAACTTTTTTAATTTTCTGCAGGACACATTCCAGACACACGCGACACTTCTTAGGACACTTCTCAGACATGGTGAGCCATTGATTACTACTAATCTCTTCAAATTTTGTTAATTTCAACTACAAATTTCTATGCAGTTACTTCATATTATCATTCACCAAAAGAAAAGGTAGGATTTCGGCACCTAGATGACATAAATATTCTCCATTGACCTCTAAATACATCTTCTTTTCTCCACAGTTCAATGGTACCTGACTATTTTAAAACAATTTTAGTAGTTTTAAAATTGATATCAATCCAAGAAAAGAATGATTAAAAGCTGAGTTCCCACATAATTTTGTATAAAGAAATGCTTCCAAAGAAGCCTTTAGATACAGGTTCAAGTCTTCACAATCAGACCTAACTTGTGCAACATTTGAAAACAGTTTAGTAGTATTCCAACCAAATGCTCTCTGTTTGTACTGGGATGCCAATTGGGATTGGAATTAATCTTTAAAAGCAAATAAGCCTAAATGCAATAGCCAAAACACTGCCACAATCCACACACAAAGATACAAAAAGTAAGATTGCTCTTGATAGTTATGGCCAATATTAAATAAAAAAACAAAAAAAATGATGAGATCAACATTTCTCCTCATAGTCACACCAATCAAAATATTGTGCGAGCATGGTTATTCTCCAACAAGGAAAAATTGACAGAGAAGGCTCTAAGTGGAAATGACATCAAGTGTCTTCCCAGCAGTTGCTTCCATAAAAACTAGTTTTAGTATCTCAGGTCTTGAAAAAAAGAGACAATCTAAATTCTTCAAGTACTAATTCAGTCTATACCTCCTTTGAGACCACCATAGATATATATCCGTTCCGCGACAGATGCGGCTGCATGCCGACAACGACGCATAAGCTCCAAAGAAGGATCATGCTCAGTGGGTCCTTTGCTTGTTCGTGAGGTAGTCACAAGCCCATTTCTATCCAACCATGCTCCAGCAGCAGTGTCCAATACTTAAAACAGAAACCATAATAATTGGTATTCTCTTTGAATGATTGAATTGGAATAGTCATCCATATTGGTAAACCAGAGAGGGAACCCAAAATTTACCTGCAACAGCTGCTTCACCTTCAACTGCACGTCCTCCTCTAAGAGCACCTCCTGTGACATGCAATCTAGCACCAACAAAGACCTGATAACCAGCAATATTATGATCAGCGATAGGATAGAAATGATAAAAATGAAAGAGCTAAACAGTCAAGCCGGCCAGTTAACAGCCAATCACTCTAAAAGCGCAAGCTATTAAATAGTGGTGTAGCTTAGGTATTAATATGTATTGCAAAAAACTCAGGTACATTAATATAAGAACGCATCCTCAACTATGGGAGGAATCCCCATCATGCAGATGTAAAATACAATCAGGAAAGTTCTCCAATCTCAGCCAATGTTTTGAAACCGACAATGGACCGGAATTGTGCACTTAACAAGTTTCGGAGAGGGGGGGTAGAAAAAGGAAAACCAAAGAGAGAATCGTCTCCTCTCCAAAACCAGCCATGTTAAAGAAATCCATTAGGATTGCTGGATGAATGGGTATCCAATATGACCTGTTTAGGGATCATTTGTTAATGTTTTCGTTTCTTGATTTCTGTTTTCATTTTCAAAAATTTTGGAAATTAAAAGCAGCAGCACATTTGGTGGTGGTTTTTGTATTAAAAAAAGCGGCAGCAGTTTCAAAAATTTTAGTTTTCAAAACAAGTTTTCACTCTCTCCTACCTCCACTGTCTCTGGCCACAGCCAGCCGAAGTCCTTCAGGCAACCTCCAATCACCTTCCAGTGAGCTCCATCAACTCTCCGATGACCCTCCAGCCACCACCTCCAGCATTTAACCAAGCATGTTTCTTTGTTTTTATTTTCAAAACATTTGTGTACACCAAACAATTTTTTTATTCTACACTTTACCCACCGACCCCCCTTCCCCCTCAAAAAAACAAAAAAACAACTATCACTATATATCACTTTACCCCCCTAAAATTTAGAATTGTGCAACACTCAACTATCAAAAACCATACAAAACCCCCCCTTTTGGAGAGGGTGAAAGTGAAGCAATTTTGCTAGTTAAGGGGTTTAAATGTATGGTTTTAAAGTTGAAGGGGGTAAAGTAATATTCAGTGATAGTTGCGGGGGTAAAGTGTAATCAACCAAAGCTCGAAACATTATCAAACCCCACCTTAATATCAAGATAAATCAATTTGTGGGTGTTCTCAAGTTCCCCATTTAATGTCCCTCATACTCTCTGCCACAAACACAAAACCAAAAAAAAAAAAAAACGACTCCAATAATTCATGGCAGCATGGCCGACGATCACGGACCACCCACCCAAATTCCCTTTCTCTCTCTTATATTCTCCTTACCTGTCCAGATTGAATGGGGGTAAGTCTGGTTATTTACTACTACTACTACTACTACTACTACTACTACTACTACTAAAATATACAATATTTATTTATTACAATTCTTTACTTGCATCTCTATCAAATTTAGGCCAAGGGGAAGGGCTCAATTACAAGTATTCTTGGAAAATATACAATATTTATTTATTATAATTCTATACTTCTTTTTGACTGACAAGCTTTTTTCTTTAACCATATCGATATTTGATGCTTCCAATTAGTTCCTTGTCTATTGGTTACTTCTTTTATTTTGTGTTAGCTTTAATCATTTATTATATGTGAGGCAATCAAAACGTCACTGTTCAATTTTGATTGCCCAATGCTTGAACCAAAGTCCCACAACTCTTCTTCAAGTTTGCTAGATAGTATGGCTATTAAAATATTTATAGAAGCAATGGACTTCCTACATCAATCCATGTTGACAGCTGATTGATCTGAAGCTTAAGCTATTAAAATGAAACTCAAATCATTACTGTCGCATCAAGCCAACAGGACAAGGTTTTCCCAGCCATGCCATTAGCAGCCATACAATCCAAAGCCTACAGTCCTTCCAATAAAACACATCAACTCCAAAAAATTCAATACAAAACTCCACTCCCAAGAATTTAGAGAGAGAGAGAGAGAGAAGCAATTAACAATTCAATAGATAAAGGCCCTTGGTATGTAGCTATCACTTACTGCAGCGTGTTCATATCTTGGTGAAGGAGACACCCCAGGTGCAAGAGTCCACTCCCACTGACCGTTCATATGCATAAGCAGCCCATAAGCATCTGCCAGTGGCTTTATATGCACACAGAAAAATCAAGACTTTAATAACTATGCTGCAATAGATAAGCCTCAATAAGAAATACACACAGAACAAGAAAAATGTCATTAACTGTCGCCCAGGAAAGTTAAGGTGCTTCAGAAAGCATCAGAATCTGAAACACTATTAAGCATAAGCTTTGGGCGTTCTGCTTCTTTTATCTTTTTTTTTTCTTTCTTTAACTTAGTAACCACTTGAATGTAAACCAGTAAATCTCTGTGTTACACATTTGAACATGTCATGTAAGCAAACAAGATAAAAGAATAGAAAGCAGTAAGCTCTCTGTCATATTCACCATTGACTGATAATAAAAGTCTTCACAAGCACAATAGATCATACCATGCCTGAGGAGTCTCTTCCACCACACAGCAGAAACATGCCATCCGAACGGGCACTAGCTGTTGCATACCTGCATTATGTAATGTAAAATTAAAAATATGTACCGCTCAAAGAATACAGAAAATTCACTTATCAAAAACAATAAAAAATTACTCGTTCATGCTTTTGCATTGAGATGTAAAACTTGAATTATAATGAAGCAAAAATGCTTCAGTTCAAAATTCAGCTGCTTACCCAAACAAGGTGAAATTTTTTGTCAAGTAACTTCAACATAAGTCACAACAATCAGCAAGTTTTACTGATTATATACAAGTTCTGAAAAGCTTTGTCCTGTCCTTGCATTTGAGAACATGTACATAATCACTCAACTGCATAAAATATGGGCAACAACTGATAGCCACCAGGAAATAAAGGGAAGTTGAAAAGGGAATATGATGGCAAAAGCAAGTGAAGAAAAACAACAGAGAGGGGAGTTATTGCCCATGCCAAGATTAGCAGAAGCTTGAACTCACATCAAAGCCTCCCAGCTAGTTTGTAGTTTGCAAACACACCACCAATAAGGGTAGAACGTTGAAAATTCAAGGGCATGTCAAAGACTACCCCATTGATGGCATGGCAACTAAAGTTCGTCCCATGTCAAAGGCTACCCCATTGTTAAAAGGGTGGGATTTAAAGATACTATTCAGGTTGAACATAATGGCTATCAAGACAGAAACAAGTTATCTACCAGGAGAAGAAAAATTGGACTGGAAAAGGGAAATGAAGGAAAACAAGGACATGTGATGAATAAGAGAGGAAAGGTAACTGATTGAGGAAGGGAAGAAATTTTTCTTATGTGCATGTTAAGAGAGAGAAAATGGTCTAACAATTAATAGCAATAGAGTGTAAAAATGAAGAAGAGCAGAGAAGATACGAAGAAATGTGCAAGAAAAAGTGGGAAATTTGGGGAAAATAGAACAACAGGTTCATTCCTAACAAGAAAACACTAATTTGGAAGAAAATGGCACCCTAGTTATAATTAAGAGAATAGAAGTTGGTAACTGAACTCGCTAATTGGGAAAATGATATTCTACCGGTAATGATGTTCACATACAACATAAAAACAATGTGGCTCCTCAAATTGTCATATTTCAAAATGCAAGAACCAGTCTATGAGGCTCCATTTGGGAAGAGAGGTTTGGAGCTTTTTTGGCTAAAATAGCCACAAAAAACAAAATAGGCTTTTTAGCCCAATAAGACAAAATATTACATCCAACCCATAATCATTACATTATTTCTCTCACAAAAAAGTCAAAAAATCCAAAAAAACCAAAAATCCTTCCCAAACCAGGCTTTTTAACCCCAGGCTAAAATAGCCAAAAAAATCAAAAAGCCAAAAAGCCAACCCACTTCCCAAACAAAGCTTGAGTATATGTAAGAAATAATGTATAGAGAAAGAGAGAGAATAAATTGTATGTATTATTATTGATTGATATATTGATATATTACAATGATTCATGATTCCTATATATAGAAGAGGGTGAGTGTGTAGTAGGTAAGGAGTAGGTGAAGTGGAGGTGGTAGTGGTGTAGTGGGTTAGGTTTAGTGGAGTAGGTGAGGTGGTAGTGGTGTAGTGGGTTAGGTTTAGTGGAGTAGGTGAGATGGTAGTGGTGTAGTGGGTTAGGTTTAGTGGAGTAGGTGAGATGGTAGTGGTGTAGTGGGTTAGGTTTAGTGGAGTAGGTGAGATGGTAGTGGTGTAGTGGGTTAGGTTTAGTGGAGTAGGTGAGATGGTAGTGGTGTAGTGGGTTAGGTTTAGTGGAGTAGGTGAGATGGTAGTGGTGTAGTGGGTTAGGTTTAGTGGAGTAGGTGAGATGGTAGTGGTGTAGTGGGTTAGGTTTAGTGGAGTAGGTGAGATGGTAGTGGTGTAGTGGGTTAGGTTTAGTGGAGTAGGTGAGATGGTAGTGGTGTAGTGGGTTAGGTTTAGTGGAGTAGGTGAGATGGTAGTGGTGTAGTGGGTTAGGTTTAGTGGAGTAGGTGAGATGGTAGTGGTGTAGTGGGTTAGGTTTAGTGGAGTAGGTGAGATGGTAGTGGTGTAGTGGGTTAGGTTTAGTGGAGTAGGTGAGATGGTAGTGGTGTAGTGGGTTAGGTTTAGTGGAGTAGGTGAGATGGTAGTGGTGTAGTGGGTTAGGTTTAGTGGAGTAGGTGAGATGGTAGTGGTGTAGTGGGTTAGGTTTAGTGGAGTAGGTGAGATGGTAGTGGTGTAGTGGGTTAGGTTTAGTGGAGTAGGTGAGATGGTAGTGGTGTAGTGGGTTAGGTTTAGTGGAGTAGGTGAGATGGTAGTGGTGTAGTGGGTTAGGTTTAGTGGAGTAGGTGAGATGGTAGTGGTGTAGTGGGTTAGGTTTAGTGGAGTAGGTGAGATGGTAGTGGTGTAGTGGGTTAGGTTTAGTGGAGTAGGTGAGATGGTAGTGGTGTAGTGGGTTAGGTTTAGTGGAGTAGGTGAGATGGTAGTGGTGTAGTGGGTTAGGTTTAGTGGAGTAGGTGAGATGGTAGTGGTGTAGTGGGTTAGGTTTAGTGGAGTAGGTGAGATGGTAGTGGTGTAGTGGGTTAGGTTTAGTGGAGTAGGTGAGATGGTAGTGGTGTAGTGGGTTAGGTTTAGTGGAGTAGGTGAGATGGTAGTGGTGTAGTGGGTTAGGTTTAGTGGAGTAGGTGAGATGGTAGTGGTGTAGTGGGTTAGGTTTAGTGGAGTAGGTGAGATGGTAGTGGTGTAGTGGGTTAGGTTTAGTGGAGTAGGTGAGATGGTAGTGGTGTAGTGGGTTAGGTTTAGTGGAGTAGGTGAGATGGTAGTGGTGTAGTGGGTTAGGTTTAGTGGAGTAGGTGAGATGGTAGTGGTGTAGTGGGTTAGGTTTAGTGGAGTAGGTGAGATGGTAGTGGTGTAGTGGGTTAGGTTTAGTGGAGTAGGTGAGATGGTAGTGGTGTAGTGGGTTAGGTTTAGTGGAGTAGGTGAGATGGTAGTGGTGTAGTGGGTTAGGTTTAGTGGAGTAGGTGAGATGGTAGTGGTGTAGTGGGTTAGGTTTAGTGGAGTAGGTGAGATGGTAGTGGTGTAGTGGGTTAGGTTTAGTGGAGTAGGTGAGATGGTAGTGGTGTAGTGGGGTGATCGGGGTTGATCCCCTGATATGAATAAAATGACAAGGTTGTGGAATGTTGTTGGTGTTGGGTCCATGGAGAGAGAGAGAGAGGGATGTCCAAGAAGCTTGTGCTTTTGATAGTTACACATTACCCAAGCTGTATGTGAAGATGCATGTTACTGTCTTACACTTCTGCAGGCTTGGTATTCTTTGTGGGGCATTTGCAACACGTGACATTGAAAATTGTATTCGAAAATGATGACATCTCCAACATGAAACGTCTTGGAAGCAGCCCAGGCCTTGTAATCAATATTCCCAATGATGGTTCAACCAGCGGAGTCCCCAACCTTGTACACTGCTGCCATTGAAACCTTCAAGCCAGCAAACATGGCTACCAACAACAGAGCCACAGCTCTACACGCCACACCCAAATCCATGGCTAAGAGAGAGAGAGCAAATCGGGAAAAAAAAAACAGCAGTGACGAGCAGAAAAGCAGCGCCAGAGACGCCAACGACGACGACGAGTAAGAGTACAACCACGGATATGTGAGAGGCGAGGTGAACGGCGATAGAGGGTAGACGATGATGCGGGTGCCGCCGCCGACATAGCGGAGGAGGGGTGTAAGAAAATGTTGAAGAAGTCAAGGTATGTGTAGAAAATAAGCGGAATAGGTTGAGGTCCGGCGGGCGGCCAAAGCGAGGTTGCCGCCCGCCGGTGAAGCGAGAAATACTAAGGTCTTAACCTTGCTCTGATACCATGTAAAAATTTATGTATTATTGATTGATGTTTATTGATTTATATTACAATGATTCATGATTCCTATATATAGAAGAGGGTGAGTGTGTAGTAGGTAAGGAGTAGGTGAAGTGGAGGTGGTAGTAGTGTAATGGGTTAGGTTTAGTGGAGTAGGTGAGGTGGTAGTGGTGTAGTGGGTTAGGTTTAGTGGAGTAGGTTTAAGTGGGTGAAGTAGGTGATAGGTTTTAACAAGGAGCATGATGCTTCTCTGAATCAATTTCTCTATTGCAAGGAGCAATGCTGCTACTCTGAATCAATTTCTCCATTGGAAGGAGCAATGGTTTAAGTGGGTGAAGTAGGTGGAGAGTATGTGGATTTAGTGGGTTAGGTTTAGTGGAGTAGGTGATGTGGTAGTGGTGTAGTGGGTTAGGTTTAGTGGAGTAGGTTTAAGTGGGTGAAGTAGGTGGAGAGTAGGTGGATTTTAACAATAGCCACAAAAAACAAAATAGGCTTTTTAGCCCAATAAGACAAAAAATTACATCCAACCCATAATCATTACATTATTTCTCTCACAAAAAAGTCAAAAAATCCAAAAAAACCGAAAATCCTTCCCAAACCAGGCTTTTTAACCCCAGGCTAAAATAGCCAAAAAAATCAAAAAGCCAAAAAGCCAACCCACTTCCCAAACAAAGCTTGAGTATATTTTAAAATCAAGAACTGCATAAGTACTACTACAGTTCAAACGGTCAACAATGCAGATAAGAGAGTTCTTGCAATGATGGATATCTTTCTATTTAATGTAAAACAAAACTATAACTCAATAAAATGAAACAACACAACACCCACACCTTTAAGAAGTCACCAAAGACCTAACTTTTCAATGATGGAAAGGCAATTACACTCACATTCTAGCAGAAGGTCTATCACCTTCTGGGTTAAGCATCTGCCACACATATGGCTTCTGCGCAGTATCCAGAACCCAAGCATCTGACAGCACTCTTTTCCCTGCAGAAGAACGTAAATTACTGTTATTATTGTTTAAATAGATTCTATTGCATAAAGCACACATCTCAGAACAGTTCTAAAGCCTTGCCGCACTTCTTTTTTCCTTTTCTTTTTTTTCCCCCCAAGAATGCCTATATCGTTAACTACTCCAGTGAATAACTACTACCAGTTTGCAAATTTGTCAAATTGCCAAAAAAATTTAGATGTAAAATTGTAAATGCGAGCAAAACAAATGCACTTCTCATTAGCAACTGAACACATGCACAATCACCAGGGAAACATAACTCGTTTCCCTATATTAAACACCAATATTGCACTCACCGTCATTGCCGCTGACAGTAACAAGGTATCTTTGTCCAACCAAATCCATTACATGGCCATATCGCGGCCCAGGACCCTGTCCTTGAACTACAACTCTACACTCACAAAAATACAGCGAGCAAGTCAAGGTTCCAGAAAACTCAACAGAACAAAAAACAGATCAATTTTGAGTGTATCTAGAAATTACCTGTGCCACTTGAATTTGTCACTGGCCAAGTCAAGCACATAGAGGTCATCTGTTGAATGCCCAGCAGGACCTATTCCGCCCTAGCCATAGATCATCAATCCAGAAATCAAGAAAAACAAAACAATAACCTAGAAAAAAGAATTGACATTTTCTCACATTTTTAATCACCTGAAACACAACCATAGTGCCAACAGCTGCTGCTGTGTGTGCAGCCCTAGGAGAAGGTGGCTCACCAGCCGGTCGGAGTCTGATCAGATATTAAAAGAGAGAAATTCTCAATACAACAAACCTCAATTCAAACATTGGCTTATGATACCGTTATTTATTGATATATATATAAACCAAACCAATCCAAGCCTTAAGTCCCATCAAATGGGGTCAGCTACATGAGTCCTTCTCCACGCGGCCCTATCAAAAGCCATTTCATTAGTCAAATTAAGGGGATTCATATCTCTATTTATAGCGCTAGTCAACGTTAATCTAGACCTACCCCGTCCCCTAACACTTGCATCTACCGTTACAGCATCGCATCTCTTCACTACTGCCTCTGTTGGTCTCCGTTGAATATGACCAAACCATCTCAAACGATTCTCTCTCAACTTATCTTCTATCGGTGCTACTCCTACCCATTCCCGAATACACTCATTCCTAATCCTGTCCTGTCTAGTCTTACCACACATCCACCTTAGCATCCTCATCTCAGCCACACTCATCTTATCTACATGTTGTTTCTTAGTTGCCCAACACTCCGTCCCATACAACATAGCTGGTCTAATAGCCGTTCTATAAAACTTACCTTTTAGTCTAGTGGGTATTCGTTTATCGCACAATACCCCAGACGCACTTCTCCACTTACACCATCTCGCCTTTATCCTATGGGCCACATCTGCATCAATCTCTCCCGCTGTTGTGATAATCAACCCTAAATAACGAAAATGTTCACTCTTAAGCAGTTCTTGGTTCTCAATCTTCACTTCTCCTCTGTTTTCATTGTTACTGTTACTAAATTTACACTCCATGTACTCTGTCTTAGTTCTGCTTATCCGAAATCCTTTAGATTCAAGAGCTTTTCTCCAGATCTCCAACTTTGTGTTAACTCCTTCTCTAGTCTTATCCACTAACACAATATCGTCTGCAAAAAGCATACACCATGGCACGTCATCCTGAATATTTATCGTCAACTCGTCCATAACTAAAGCAAAAAGATAAGGACTTAAGGTAGATCCTTGGTGTAACCTTACAGTGATAGGAAATTCATTTGTTTCTCCAGCTGGCGATCTAATAGTGGTCACCACCCCTTCATACATGTCCCTAATCACGTCAATGTTGCCTTTTGTCACCCCTTTCTTCTTTAACGCCTACCATATTATATCTTGGGGCACTCTGTCATATGCTTTCTCAAGGTCGATAAACATCATATAAATGTCTCTTTTCTTTTCTTTATACTTTTCTATTACTCTCCTCAAAAGATAGATCGCTTCCATTGTTGACCTACCAGGCATAAACCCAAATTGATTATCTGACACCTCTGTTATGTCTCGCAATCGGCGTTCCATCACCCTCTCCCACACTTTCATTATATGACACATTAACTTAATTCCTCTATAGTTGTTACAATTCTGGACATCACCTTTATTTTTACAGATTGGCACTAAAATACTCTTCCTCCACTCATCTGGCACGTTCCTAGTCAACAAAATTTTGCTAAACAACCTAGTCAACCAAGCAACTCCCTTTTTACCCAAACACTTCCAAACTTCAATAGGTATATCATCAGGTCCTAAAGCCTTATTTGATTTCATCTTCTTAAGTGCAATCTCCACTTCAAAGTTCCTAATCCTGCGATAGAACCTATTGTCTTGGTTTATTGTATTACTGGCTATTTCTTCCCTTATTGTCATACCTCCATGTTCCTCATTTAATTGTTTCTCAAAATAATTCTTCTATCTTTCCTTAATCTCATCATCCTTTTTCCTTTTTATAGATAAATAAAATGTTACAGAAAAGAGAAGAAAAAAAAAAATCAAAGAGAATTCCTTGCCAGAAACTGAGGGAGTTAAAGCCAAAAAGAAAAACAGCTTAAAAATGAAAAGAGTGCAGACCAACAAAGGGAGACCTACAATCCACAAGCTACTTACCTGTACTACTTCAATGCCAGCCCCCTCCCGTTTTTTCTCGAAAACTATTTGTTGAGAAAGCCATCCCTCAAATTAACTTCTGCTAAATCCCATGTTAGGAAAAATGTCTAGTTAACCAATCATTTTTGTGATGGTAATTTCAGTCCAAAATTGAATCTGTAATTTTATTTTATTTCTTAGGCTTAGTTGAGTCTTGAAAATGTTCCGTAGTCATGCATCATCAAGACAACTTCAAATTCAAGCCTTAATCATACGAACAGACTCAGCTTCAGTGAAAAGGCAAAACTCATTATGCAGCATTAGCAGCATTTAATGAGTTTTATCTTTGTTAAGGTTTTTGGTTGGTGTATTTTAAGTGAATGACCAACCATAGCTAATTTAGTTTTGGACTATTAAAGAAACCATAAACTTAATTTTTAGGCTTATGTTATTTTTGTGCGCAAAGCAATTTGAAAGCAGATGGAAAATTAATTACTTTTATTTCCTATTGTTCACTGAGAACGTAGGACCCATGAATTCATTACCAAAACATACTTGAGAGCCATGCAATCCATTGACCATAGCCTTAAGACTAGCCTTGTTGCAATTGAAGATTGGGTGGCTTAGCTGACTTGTGTATGACTTGGTCGTACATATTATTAAAGACTTGGAGTCCATGAGGCACTTGAAATTAGAATTGGGAACATTATGAATGAACAAAATCGTGAAATAGTAGAAGTGGCACCGTAAGCGCTAATAATGTTCACTATATTCCCTCCAATAACTAGTTTAACTAACATAATCCTATCTCCTTTCCTAGTGACCGCCACCACACTTTCCACAAGACCCTTGGCAATTATGATTCCTACCCCGTTCCTGCGTCTATCCTTACCACTATAATAAAGTTTAAAACCAGTTTCCCTAACTTTCTCTCCCGTCCACATAGTTTCTTGTATGCAAGCTATACTAACTCTTCTCCTAATCATAACATCTATCAATTCCATCGTCGTACCAGTTAAGGTTTCTATATTGCAAAATAATGTCTGATTTCAGCTGATATATGACCATATTTCATCCCATACCATTGGATTATGGAATTGGATAAGGATTTGGAAAGGAAAGGAAAAGAAAACGAATTTACTTCTCCATATCCATTTCCTTTTTCTTTTCCTTTTCCTTTTACTTTTCTTTTTCAAATTCCTACAAGCATATGCTTGCACGGATCCAAACACAACATTCAAAGAATCCAGAAAGAAGAGGTAGTAGTAATTGAAACATGCCTGGTCCATTTCCTGGTGAGAACATCGTAAGAATGAATTGCATTCGTTACACCAGCTAACCCTAGAATCAGAATTGACAATGAAAATCAGCGACTAGAGAGAGAGAGAAAGCAAGAGAATATATATATATATAGATATAGAGAGGGGAGAGAGAGAGAGTACGGATGCCGGGGGCAGAGGAGGAGGAGGCGCCGCCCTCGATGGCGGTGGCGCCGCCGAAGAGGATGAGGCGGGGGCCCTGAGATTTGGTGGCGGAGACGGCGGTGAGAGTGTGGCTGCAGCGGGGACCGGGGGAGTCGTCGTCGGAGTCCCAGTAGGTCTCTAAGGTCCGATAGGTCGGAGCCGGGTAGAACTGCCGGTTCGAACCCATCAAACATATATTGTTATTAATCAGTATACAATAGTTTTCAAAATCTGAGGATTAGAAAGAGAGTTCAGAAGAAACTCAAGAGTCCAGAGGCGTCACTGTCTGTCCAACAACGCTCTGGACATTTGTCTCCGGACTCCACTCGCTCTTTATACCCGTTTAGGACTGCAGAAACACTCCTCTCCACACAATTCTTATTTCGCCTCGTCTGGCAAGTCATATTTTTTTTTTAATTATGCCTCGTTTGGAAAGTCATTTTTTTTTAGTAAAACATTAAAAAATTATTTTAAAAAATTAAAAAAATCAAAAAATTATATTAAAAAATTGTAAAAAAAATTATTTTTTGTATATTTTTTCATAAAAATTAAAAAATCATTCCAAATATATTAATTTCTTTATATCATATTTTAACTAAAAAATTATTAAAAAAACATGCTTCCAAACGATACCTCAATAAAAAGATAAATTACAAAAATCTCTTCAATTATGAATCATTTCTATTGAGTTATGTTAGGTACTCTAAATAAATTATTAAATATTTTACTAAATCATTCACATAACACACAAATCACATAAATCCCGCACCTATATAAAAGATTTTATAAAACATTTAATAACTTATTTGGGATCTCTACCCTTTTCTATTTCTATTTTATCTTTCTAAATTTTAAAGGACCACAGCTGACTATTTTAAATTATTAATCCTCAACCCTTTCAGCTGATATAAAACACATAGCATAGCATACTTGTTCTTTTTTTATAAAACATTTTATTTTCAGAAATTTTATTCATAAATCTCATTTAAAAATGTTCTATAAGAAATCTATAAATAAATTGTTTAACCTACTTAGTCTCATGTATGCTTTTATTTCATAAAGTTTTTTTTTTAATTTACATTATTTTCTTAGACTCTTATACCTTAATATTTAATATTGATATTTAATGTCTCTAAATCCTAAACCAAAAAAGCTCATTTTTCATCAAACTTTAATGTTGATATTTAATGTCCCTAAACACTAAACCAAAAAAACTCCATTTTCACCAAACTTATTAAAAAAATTGATAATCTTATAAAATAGACACCTTTTCAGAAAGTTCTTTACTGGTTTCAACGTCCTGAGAATTCTCTCTCATCTAATGTGAACATTCATAACATGTGAACATTCTTATTTTTAAACAGTGATAATATGTTATTTTCTTCTTTTTTGTGATTGTGATTGATATTGGTATTGATGGTGTTCAAATGATATAAACCCTCTGTTTTTTTTATAAAAAAAATTAAGGAAATGATGATTTGATATGTTATTGTCTATGTGTGTAACTAATATTGTGATGTAAACATTCAAATCATATGTATATTCTTATTCAAATCCTATTTGATTATTCAAAAAAATAGTGGTGTGTGATTAATGCATTGTCGATACTACCATGTTTTTTGTATTTTCTCTCTCATCTGATGTGAACGTTCACAATATCTTTTCGGAAAATTCTCCTTCATCTAATGTAGTGATGTGAGCGTTCGCAACATGTGAACGTTCTTATTTTTAAGCAGTGATAATATATTATTTTTTCCTTTTTTGTAATTGTGGTTGTTATTGGTGTTGATAGTGTTCAAAGGATGTGAACCCTTTGTTTTTTATTTTTTGTTCAAAAAATAATGAAATAGTGGTTTGAAATATTATTGTCTATGTCTGCAGCTAGTTTTGTGATGTGAACATTCACATCATCTATACATTTTTATTCACATCATGTTTAATTATCCAAAAAAATAGTGGTGTATGATTAATGCATTGTTTATGTTGTCATATTTTTGTACTTTGTAAGCTGCAATGTGAATATTAAACATCATTCTTATATTCAAAATAGGGATTGTTAATGTAAATCTCAACATTATCATTGTGGACATTAACATTTATATGTGGATATAATATAAAGATTACCTTTGAAAAGTATCTATTCCTACTTAATATTATCCATTTTTTTGCTCCAATGTGAACTTTCACACATGTTACCATAATCATATCGATAAAACATGGTGAACATTAACATTTGTATGAGAATATAATATGAAGATTACCATTGAAAAGTACCAATTTCTACTTAATATTGTCCATTTTTTTGTCCTAATGCGAACTTTCATACACGTCACCATGATCATGGTGTTTTTATCTATATTTCAAAATTCATGTGAACACTCGCATTCAGTGGCGGAGGGAGTATAGGACTAGGGGGTCACATGCCCCCTGGATTTTGGGATTTTTTTATTTTTTTTTAACAAATAGAAAGAAGATATTTTAAATAAAAAAATTACAAAAATATTATTAGAGTGAAATGTCAATAACATTTTAAAAATTTTGAGAATAATAATGGCTGTTTTAATTGAAAATGAAGAGACTATTATAAATCATATTATCTATGAAATATTTTGAATGTAACGGTGATATCATTATTAATGACATGCAAGTATAATTAATCTTACTATAAAGATATGAAATTTATTAGATTGTTAGTTACATTTGACATGTGAGATTCATTCTCTATATATTTATTTACTATTAGTGGACATATCAATGATGACGTAATATTACCATTATATCGAATTTTTAATAAAATTTTGTATTAAAAAAATAATTTATCATTATATCTCTGTTTGGGAAGTTGAGTTGGGGTTTTTTTGGCTAAAATAGTCACAAAAAGACAAAATAAGTTTTTTAACTCAATAACACAAAATATCACATCCAACTCATAATTATTACATTATTTCTCTCACAAAAAGTCAAAAGTCATTCACAAACAAGACTTTTTAGCCTCATACTAAAATAGTCAAAAAATCAAAAAACTAACCCACTTCCCAAATGAACCCTATTTAATTTATTTTAAGACTTATATCCATATTTTTTTTATATTGTTCATGATACACTAGTTACAAATAACATTATTTTTTTGATATTTTTCGAAATCAATCGTAAAAACTTGTTGAAATATTTTTGTAAAAATTTTCGATATCGTAATTAATAAGTGCCCCTTCTAATTTAATTTTCTGGCTCCGCCACTGTTCACATTCGTATGTTTTATTATGAATATTCACATCATATAATTGACAACACAATGATAAAAATTCATTTTAAAATTAATGTGAATATAATGACAGTCAACATCCTAATGCATGGGAACTACCAAAACATAATGACAATTAACATTAAATATGGCAGGAGAAATTGAGAATATTTTGGTATTCTTATCTCAAATAAGACCAAATGAAATAATCAAAAAGAACATGGAATAGATTGGATTGAATAAAACTCTTAAAAAGAGAATTTATCAAAAAAAAACTTATTTTCCTTATCTTAATAGGAAAAAAAATTAATAAATATATAATGTACTTTACATTAATTGATTGATTTTAATTGCATTAAGGATAAATCCATTTGCCAACTATAACTGGAAAAAATCAATTTGATCATATTTTTTTAATCAAAAATTATGATCAGATCACACCTAATTAATCTATTCTTTTTCATTTATAGAACGTTCTGAAAGTTTTACAAATTTAACGATTTAGATTATTGAGATTGATCCATGATGGACTTAACAACAATATCACACCTTGTGAAATGATCAATAAAAAATCGTACAAATTAAACTCACAATACAAATCAGTTGGTGATTTAAATAAATTAAATTTGACAAAGTTTTAAAAAAATTAAGTTTGACTCGATAAATGTGTACTCAACATAAAATTATATAATAATTCTAAATTATATGTCTATTAAAGTTCACCTAAAATATTAGCTTAACAAAAAGAAAAAAAGTTACTTAAAATATAAATAGCCATAGGGGCTATAAGCTTTGGTTATAAAGCCGCGAGACAAAAATAGAGATGTGAAGGATAAGGAAAAAAAAAAGTTTCAATAACTCGATCAGTTTTTAATATTTTGACCATCTCACGTATATTTTTTATTTTTCATATAGTATTCTCCCTCGTGAATGTAAATAAGTTGCGTCGAATCACATAAACCTTTGTATGGTTAAGTTACGTGGGTTGTGTTCGGGATGTGCTTCATAATCCAACAACAATCACATGAGTCCCAGTCATACACATCACCATATTCAAGCAATAGCTAAGCATCCTTTGTCGATTTTTTTTTTTTATGCCAAATGTCTATGTCAATAACTGCCAAAGTTCATTCATTATTCCATCCAGGTGCTTTCAATATAAAAAAATTATCTACAGAATATTGGTTCTCACGATGATAATTCAAATGAAAAACAATCATAATTCATGAATGAGAAAGAAACAAATCAATATCAAGGTTGAATAGGAGCGTTGAACGAACCTTGCATCGAGCAGTTCTTGGAGCTGCCACAACTTTGTTGCACCAAGAACAGCACTAGCAACAAGAGGGTGTTCCAAAACAAAGACCGGCCAAAGAGCAGAGCAAGAATAGTTGATGAGCTGTAAACTGACAAAACAACATATTCGGTGATCAGAAATCAAACAGATGCATAGGTGAAGGTTCTATAGGTCAATAAAAGACGCTCCTATCTAAACATATCCATCCATCCAGTCAAAACCAGGAAATCAAAACTAATGATGGTATTTGATCAACAGTTTCAAGTTCCGATTAGAGCTTTGCAACTCATGCATACAAGTGCATATAGAAAACCCCAAATTTACTAGCCCTACTTGGGATATATACTTGCGAATAACTACTTCCCCAGAAAAAATATATTTGGGTTGGTGTTTATTTTGTTGCAACACGAATAGAAAGTGATTTATCGAATATAATTGTGTTCAGTTTTCTACTTCTTCAACAATTGTAACTCTCCAATATTGGACAATGATTCAGTTGTTGAGGTAGACAATGTTTTCCACTCAGTTGCTCTGATCCATAAGGTTCAGCAATGCGATCACGCCAACAAAAATACAACATTTCCAATGACACAAAAAACTGTTGCACTCAATGGAAGTTGCAATTTAAGGCTTCCATTGCATTGAAATTAACTCAGACAGCTTCAAAACAAACTAGAAACACAAAAAACAAAAACAAAAAAATACAGGAAAATAACCAAGAGGAGTCAGGCAGAGGCCATTGCAAAAGCTTCAGTAATTTATTGATATATAGGTAGGTGAGCAACTGAGAGAGAGAGAGAGAGAGAGAGTTAACAATTAAAATAGTCTCATTGGTTTCTTAATTTTGAAATCTTCTGCAAAATCTGCCACAAAAATAATGCTAGCACGGGGGGAGTATGAAGAATTTGCTTAATCTCGCAGCCACTTTTACAAATGGTGTTAGACAAGTTGTATCCGTACTCTCTTTCTGAATATCTCCCTGGGCATAAAATCAGAACATGTGACACGGATGGGTTGCAATATTAAACAAGTAAACAAGGATTCTCACATAATTTGGAAACAGACTCTCTGAGTGATGAGATTAATTTGGCAAGCTGATACCATACACACAAATTACAGCCACTTCAGATTCAATTTGTATCGAATGGTGATTGAGAATGGCAGGTGCAGCACATATGGCAATGGCACAAAGCAAATAGTTGCACCCCTGGCTAGAGAGGTTGTTGCGGACTTTCAACACATGCAAATCCTTAGGCAAAACCATTATCCAAAAACTTTGAACATACAGTATAGAAAAGACTACAAACATTGGATTCATCAGATAATGACCTGTTTGGTAAGACTTATTTTCAATTTATTTCAACTTTTAACTTAATTTAAATTATTTTGATGCGTTTGATTCAACTTAACAATACAGCTTATAACTTTTTATAAGTCAAAAATCAACTTATTCTTTGAGTGGAGGAAGAGAAGCTTAATTTATAAATAAAAAATCAACTTATGTTCACAGTTATAAATCATAAAGCAGTTAAACTATAAGTTATAATCACTTTTTCATAGCTCTATTAAACGGGGCTAATAAAGCATAATCACGAGATAAAACCTTGTCTAATACACCAACACAATAAAGAATGATCATCACAACATACAATCATCGGCAGCAATCCAACAACACTAAGCCTTTGTTTGGGAACTTGGTTTGGGCTAAAATAGCCACAAAAAACAAAATAGGGTATTTTAGTCACAAAAAACAAAACATCAAATCCAACCCATAATCATTACAATCCTCTCTCACAAAAAAAGTCAAAAAAGCCAAAAAGCCCTTCCCAAACCAGGCTAAAATAACCCAAGCTAAAATAGTCAAAAAACCAAAAAGCCAACCCACTTTCCAAACGGAGGCTAACACATCTTACTGCAATCTCCAGAACTGGATCACTGAAGATGACAAATGACTGTAACTATTAGAAACCACAACCATTTGAAAAGGGGAAAAAAAAATTAAACAAACAATCCAACAGACCTAACATCCCAAATTGTACTTTTCTTTGACTCCCAGTTGCTCTAAAAGACTCAGCACTCCCAGTTCTCTATTGAAGTATAGAAATAATCAATAAAATAAAAAAGAAGCAAACAGCATTCAAGAAATGGGATGAAAATTTCAAATGAAGATTCCTCTGTTAATTCATATAGACAAAAATAAAAATAATTGAACTCAACAGCATTCCAACACTATTGATCAACGAAAAAAGGCAAACTAAAGTGAGGTACTCATTTCATTTATAATGTGATCCAAAACCATATCCAACAAATTTATTGTTCTTCTATATTCAATGAAAATAACCAAACACAGGGATCAAAAATACAAAGCACAAAAATTGATCCCATCAATTTAACCACATGAAAACCTTAATTATATAAATAATCCAACCACAACAAAAACCCTAAAACTCCTGTGATGCAGATCCAATCTCGCCTTTCCCTTTCCCAACCTTCTTTGGCAACAAATTCTGATGAATGTTTGGCAGAACACCACCGTTTGCAATAGTGACTGTTCCCAAAAGCTTGCTTAACTCCTCATCATTTCTCACAGCAAGTTGTATGTGCCTTGGAACTATCCGGTTCTTCTTGTTGTCCCTCGCAGCATTCCCTGCAAGTTCAAGAACCTGTGAACAACAAAAACAAACACAACAATCAGATACCATAAAATAAGATTAACCAAAAAAATAAAAATAAAAACAGAAACTATTAAAACCCAACCAAGGTTCTGGTTTCTAGGGTTCCACGAAAATAAAATAAAAAAGAATTCCATAGATTCTTCACCGCTTCACTTTCTTTTCCTTTCTAGCATTTTCCCAGTAACCAAAAACGGGAAATTTAGCTTCTAAGAGGGTCTCCAATCCTGAATCTCTTTGTTCATCAAATTTAAAAGCTTAATCTGATATGATACACTCCCATTTTTTTGTTTTATTTCATCAAACCTTTTTAACGATTTAAAATGAAAGAAAACTGTCTACAATCCTTAGTCTTCTAAAAACATTATCAAATTTGAGTAAAAATACCACTGTTACAAATTTGGTGAAAAAATTGTGCTCCCTTGATTTGATACAATGAAATGATTAGAGCACACTCTAAGAAAGGTAGACAAAAACGCTAACCACAATAAAGAAACCCTCCATTTTCACAAAACCTAAAGAAATATGAACTAAATTTGAACTGATTTCTAGGGTTCCACAATGATATAATAATAATAATTCCAAAGATTTCTAGGTAAAATTATTACTTTCTTTTCCAAAACGGTAAAGTCTATTACTAGGGTTCGCGCCTATGGGAAAATTTCTAGGTTTCACATGACAAAAAAAAAAAAATCGAAAGTTTTCTTCGATGCATCACTTTCTTTTCCTTTCTGGCATTTTCTCTGCAACCAAACACGGAAAATTCAAAAAGGTACCTCGGCGGCGAGGTATTCGAGAACGGCGGAGAGGTAGACAGGCGCACCGGCGCCGACACGCTCGGCGTATTTTCCGGCCTTGAGGAAACGGGCGATTCGGCCTACGGGGAATTGGAGGCCGGCTTTCTGAGATCTGGAGACCGATTTGGAGGACTTGGGCTTGCCTCTGCCTCCTTTTGTTGTGCCTGTAGAACTCATAATCGTTTATTGATGATCTGTCGATCGAAAACCCGCCAGAGAGAGAGAGAGAGAGAATGATGTTCGCCAGAGCAGAGATCGATTGGAGTATATATAGTGGAGGCTCAGAGAGAGAGAGGGTGTCGAATGGTGAGTTGTGATTGGTTGGTGACGAAGGGCACGGATTGCCAGCGTAAGGATGGGTTTGGGAATTCTGTAGCGTTCGAATGGTATTATTGTGGTCCAAAAAACAAAGAGTGAGTGATATTGTGCACGTGTGACAAAACGACTAGATCACCAATAAATAAATGAATTTTTTACCTTTTGGTTTAAATTTTTTAATTTGTTGTTGTTATTTTAATTACAACAATGATTTAGAGCACTAAAAAATGCACCACTAATAGCACTAATACATTGGGAATGACAAAAATAATAATAAAAAAATAAAAACAAGGCATAAAAAGTAGGCGGGACCCACTGCCACATCATTAGTGCTCCCTTTAGTGATCCCCTTTTAGTGCTCTCAAGCATTTTTCTTTTAATTAATTAATTTCTTATTTTTTAGATACATTTAATTTAGAGTACTGTTATTAATATTTCATAAGTTATTTTAGACTCTCTAATTTTTAACTTTTTTTTATTACAATAATAACTTTAAATAAAATTACTACAAAAGACATCATTAATTTTAAGACACCCCATCTCACAATTAAATCTACACATCCACTACCTCATGAATTAGGGTTTATGAGAGCACCCACCTCCATCACCATCCATCTATCTTCCCCAAATTCCATCTTCAAAACTTACCCACCCTTAAAACCTTAAAAATCCTTTGGTGACAATATTTCGATAGTAACGTTGACAATCATTTGATTACCTACGTTGAACGGTCAAAACATGAAAATTTCTTAACACATTAAACTGTCAAAATTATTAATACTTATAGAAGTTTTCAGCCTTGTTTGGTTTGTATTTCAGAAACAATTTTTGAGAGAAAAAAGTACCAAAACACGTTTGGCAAACAAATTTCTGAAATATTCCTAAAGACTCATCTCAGAGAAATGTTCCCAACATATCTCTCTCAAAACTTCTCTCAATAAGCATCTTCTGTCATAACTTCTCTCTCTCAAAAGAACCTTTCTGACCTCATCTCTGTGATACAAAGAAAATCATTCAAGGCAATCCAATGGCTCTCTATCGGCTGTGTCAACGAAGATGATCCACACCTGTACGCCACGATCTGCACTCCCACAAGTGCCTTCGAAAACCCACTTGCCTTCCCTCCATCAATACGCTGTTCAAGATTTGAGAAATCTTCTGCATTAGATGCACTGACACTGTCTATCACCTCTTTCATCTCTATGTCGCACAAGCTTGAGGCAATAGGGGGCATCTGCTCGTACGGGTCCTCTTTGAACAACCACAACTTCTCTACCTCACAGATTTCCCCAAATTGTGCCCTAGCTTTGGTCTTAGTCAAACTGAATGAAATCTTCACACAATCGGGACTTGTAACATCAATGTCCATCATTTTTTTCTTATGGGCTCTATAAAATGCAAACCAACCAGCTTCGAACCCTACCAAGACGAAGCATAACTTCATCCTTCGCTACAAAAACGGAGAGGCCGCGCTCAAGACTTTGTTGTGGCCGGTGGGATTTGAGGGCCACCAAAACCAAGCAAGCAAGAGGTATTTCTAATGCATGAATACTTTTTTTTTATTTTATTTTAAATTTCATTTGGGTTTGTGAGTTTTGAACAATGTATTGACTGATTTTGGTTTTCAAAGTTCACATGGCTTTTGCCTTTGGGTTGTCAATTTGTGGTGAATTTCCCAATCGTTAAATTGCCGAAATCGTAGTCCATAGAGTCACACACCAGAGTCACTTAATAAAATTTACAGAGGTTTAAAAATATCCTTCAAGGGGTGAAAGTATAATCAAATGTACCCTAATGTATTTCTTATAGGCCGATGCAGCCAACTGACTTTTCAAAATATTCATTGGCCTTTCAATTTTAACTCTGTCGTTCTTTTGTTTGCATAAGAACTATTCTAGGCTCAAAATTTTCTAGAATTTTTCACTTGGCCATGTTTTAATTTACACCATAGCACTGTGTTATTAGAAAAATTTCCACCGTTGGATACATTGTCTGATGAGAGAATTCATCACATTCCTAAATTTATACATTGTCTGATGACAGAATTCCTAAATTTTGAGCCCCATATTTCATAAATATAGAATTGTGGGTCATACAAACACCTAAATTTATTTTCTGTAAAACTCAAAAGGACAAACATGTATAATTTAAAAATAATTAATATTTGATATTAACATTTCATATTTTAAAACTAGCTCCAATTACGTGCAATGAATCCAGTCCACAAGTGGATTAGAACTCTGAAACGTCTTTTGCCTAACAGTCTATCATCAACCAAATTGGCACTTTGGTAAGGTTTTGGAGTATAAGTCTTGAGATCTTCTTTTTTTATGTTTTGTTCAAGATCTGATGCATCATTGTTGTAACTTGGAAGTTAGAACTGTCGTCCTGCTTTTGGTGTCAATTTATCACTAATTTGCACATGATTCCAGAATCCTTGTACATGCCTACTGAAGATTTACATCCCATCTATGTTATCTGCTTTCATTAAACTTTAATGTTTTCAAGTTCATTTCAACGCTTACATATATATATCATTTATCACATCATTTGTCAACTAAGTTTATTAATAGTGGGTTTTTTCTTTCATTTCAATGTGTTGGCTCTGTTAAGTTGTTAACTATAGTGAAGTATATTTCCTCTTTTTTTATTTCTTTATTTTTTATTCTTTTATTTATTTTTATTTTTATTACTATTATTTTGATTAATTTCCCATACTATCTTTGAAACTTTGAAAATTAATTTCATTATGCTCATTCTGAAAATTCTGCTTTGATAATTATGCTCATGTATGCAATATAAATTATGCTCATTCTGAAATTTCTGCTTTGATAATTCTGCTCATGTATGCCATATAAATTTTGCTCATTCTGAAAATTCTGCTTTGATAATTCTGCTCATGTATGCCATATAAATTCTGTTCATTCTGCTCACGAGTCACTTGTCTACTATTTTTCCTATTTTCTTTTTTCGTATGGTATTGTTAAGTTCTGAAGGTCTACTATTATATGAAAATTCTACTCATGTATGCCATATATTTGATAATTCTGCTCATGTATGCCATATAAATTTTGCTCATTCTGAAAATTCTGCTTTGATAATTATGCTCATGTATGCAATATAAATTATGCTCATTCTGAAATTTCTGCTTTGATAATTCTGCTCATGTATGCCATATAAATTCTGCTCATTCTGCTCACGAGTCACTTGTCTACTATTTTTCCTATTTTCTTTTTCGTATGGTATTGTTAAGTTCTGAAGGTCTACTATTATACGAAAATTCTACTCATGTATGCCATATAAAATATAGGGGCTCCTTCCTCTGGGTAGATGACTATGATAGTGGGATACAGCATCTTACCCCTGCGCAAGTGCCTCGTACCGGGGGAAAGTGGTTGTTTTGGGTTTGTTGTGGATGCAACGCTTTTCTTTGTTTTATTATTGTGGTCCTTTTGTTGGTCATTGTACTTATGTAGGAAATTCCAAACTGTGGTTGAAACAATGCTTGAACTTGTTGTTTTGTTATGGTAGCGCAACGATTGGTAGCAATTATGTTATAGTACATTGTTTTTTTATTTTTTTCAAACAGCTTGTGGTAGTTTCATTATGTCAGAAGTGTTGATGTACGGTTATTTAAATTCATTTCTTGTTCATGTATGGTTCATGTATCAGCAGGTACACAAATTCAGGTTATTTTTTGTTTAATTTTATCTTTCTTTATGGCTTCATCTACTTCAGTTTTTTCCGCACCATGATTCTTCAAGCGGATATGTGGGTTGTGATGCCATCTGACAGGTGGAACTGAAAGCCATGTACAAGTATTTTTGAAGTATTACTTGTCTTAAATGTTTGCAGCATCTTGTTTAGTATGATGTAAATTATCAGGACTGTGTGGGAGATGGAAAACCAAAACATTGGTAGACATGGCGATTGACCGTGGGTGCTACATAGATCAGAGTTAGAGCTTAAAAATATCCACATGGATCAACCTGATCCTAGGAAGCTGACTCCCTTGCATTTTTATGCTTGGTCTAAGGTAATTGGACAAAAATTTGAAAAAACACTTTTTACCATTTATTTTTTTGTGGGTTTGACAGATTAATTTTTTATATTTCAACTAGATTCTTTATCTGAAAGTTGTGATACTAGTGAAAAAGCACTTTTAATGCAATCAGCAATTAGCAATCAATTTTAGTATGTAATTATGTTCTGTCTCTCTAAATCTCTTTTTCGCACAATTGTTTTTTTTGTTGATAAATTCCTTGAAGAACTGTATAATTGTTTACCATTTATTTTTTACCAGGTGGGAGTACAACCTCTTTTGGTTCCCCTACAGGAGGATCAATGTTTTATGGAACTTTAACCAATATCAACATTTGGTGCCTCGTTATATTCTGCTTTTGGTTCTTCTTCGGCCCCTGCTTTTGGGAGCTCTTCATCGTCATTTGGTGGTTAGTACTTTAATAACATTGTTAACATTATTTTAAATTTTGTTTGTTGTTGGTTAGTACCATATTATTTGCTTTGAATATACCATTAATGGAAGACTTGCTAAGACAATGTGAAGAAGAGTTGAACAATCAGTAAATTCATACATTCTTGTTTAGATTGGAACTTGATGGCCAGCATGCTGACTTTGATCTTTCTGGCACTTCTTTTGGTTGGATGATGTACTGCATTTTCTTCCTTTGGTACATCAAGCACCACAGGATTTGGTTTTGGTACCACTCCAACATTTGGGCAATCAACTTTAGCTTCTGCTAGCAACAGCTTTTTTGGAACTGCTCTGTCTTCTTTTGGGGATCATAATTGGATCTTAGGTGGGTATTTAAAATAGTTAGTGCTAGTTACTCTATAATATGGTTACATATTTTTTTTGCTACCAATATGAATCATTATTATTTTGTCAATCTATTTTGCAGGATCTCAGTCC